CTTTGCCCTAAACTCAGGCCAGGCCTGGTACTTGTAGTGGTTGATGACTATATTATCCTGCTTCTCTGTTCTGTACCTGGGCATCATAATGAAGTGGTGGATGACGTTGAGCAGGGAACGATTGACGGCGTCCAGAAGCACTGCGGATTTGTGCCGATTTTCCCATCGACAATTGTAGCCTTGGGTCACTCCCTCCGGAGGGTGTGCCTTCTTTCCTGACGGGCCGAACTCAATACAAGGGAAGCTCAGTTGTGCCACGTCAGCATCTACCCGCAACATAGACTGTAAGGGCCTCCAAATTTCATGGTCAATCCAGGATTCGGAGTAAAAGATCTCATCCACATCGGCATATAGCATCCAAGAGCATGAACGGTGGACGTAGATGGGGCTGATGTCGAATCCCTGACCTAAGAGGCTTCCCACGATTTCTTTGAGTTCATCCTCAGTGGCGGCTGCGAATCAGTGGCATCTGACGTTAAATTGACCAGGGACGAGGATCCGGTAAAAACTGGCTGCTTAACGGCCCGGGACGTGGCTCCGTTCTCGAATAGGCACACCTAAGGATCGTCCTCCTCCACAGCCAGAGGAGAAGATTCCGCCATCACAAAGACCTGCCATTCCGGTACCAAAACAGAGACCGCCAGTAGGGACGACGCGGCGGCGGCGGCGGATGAAGGGATCACGTGCGGCCCTGAACCCCGCCCTTCGCGACGGAGCGACGCCGAAGACGGGAGCGGAGGCGTCGTAGAAGTAACGCTAGTAGAACACGAGGAAATAGAGGAGGACCCAAACGACGACGTATGCTGACTTCACTCTGGTACCTTTCCCGGCCATCGGAATAGGTTTAAGGAAGGAATCAAGAATTCAAGTTGAGGAAGACGATTGAATAGTGATTGGGGATTTTAGGTTTTGTATTGTTCTTTAGTACTCCGTACACCTTAACTAAAATTAGGTTTAACAAAATAGTAGACTCGTACTCATGCAACGCATAGCCAAATTATTTTACTAAAAAATCACGAAAAGTTTTGATGGAAGAAAATGAAAAAAATACATAAAGATAAAATAATATAATAAAATTTTAGAGAAAGAGAAATATACATTAATACTGAATGTCGATAAAAGTGTTATAAGTTTTGAAAAACTTCCTTATAAATTACATTTGTAGTTGGTTTGACGATGCAACATTGCAAATCAAGATCTTTAACTTTTACGATTTGTGACGCATGATCTTGCCACATAAAGCTGCTCATCCTAGTGAGACCCGGTTCTTCAAATAAGATCGCGTCGAACGCATCAAGCGTGCTCTCTCCGAGTTTTTCTTTTTTCTTCCTCCAAATTCATCATTTCTTTTTGGATTCGGAGCATTCTTCATTTTCTTAATCTGGAATTTCATCCAGAAGGTCTGTACCATCAGCGAGCCAACGTCTGCACTTTCTCCACTGGATTCACTTCTTCCTGCCGCGGAAAGCAAAAACTGAAGCTGGATCTTTCCAAATTTTGTTCTCTCGCCACCGGTACAACGTCGCTCTCCATCGTTCTCAACCCCAGGGTACCAGCCGAACGCTTCGAGAGGCATTCCATTCGCGTCTTCTCGGGAGACCTCCAGCCGGCGCTCCAATCTACGACCCGCAGCGACGACGATGTCCGGACCAGCGGCATTTGGGATGCACTAACCAGATACCGCTAGGCGTAGCAGATAGTAGATCCAGATCACCGCCGGCCATGTCGGGACGGTGAACTTAGAGGAAGAAATCGCCACCTAGAGGATCCAAATTCACGCCACGAGGAGATTGGGTCAGATTACAACCCGACCCGGACAGAGCTTTTTCCACCAGCGACGGGTCAGCGGTTCTGGGTTTTACAGCGGTCGTTCCTGCAAGCCGCTCCCTGCTTCGTTCAAGTTCCCGTCGACCCCCTCACTCTGGCGAGAGCGGCAGCGGTAAGCTTCTGACGGCAGATCAGCGACCAACGCCCGCAACAACAGACCGGTGCAGCCGAAGACGAGCAAGCTCGAATCAAAGCCCGACTCCGACACCAGTTCAGACAGGCTATGACCCACCTCTATCCTTCCGGTGATGTTTCTCGCCGTGCTTGTCAATCCGACAAGCGTGTAGGCCTCTCAATGCGCGTGAGTTTTGCTGGGCAAGACTTGCTTCTGTCAAATCTGCCAGCTATAAAAAGAAAGGAGTTGTTATCATCATTTTAACTATTCCATATTTATTAATTTTATTTTTACCATATTACGCAGTATTAATATGGTAATTGTTATCATTTAGACATTTACTCTATTATTATTACCATTACCTTGTCCACCGCACGTGATCGGACCTCACTTGGACGATTGTATCATATTTTGTGTTCAACACTTTAAGCCCTGATGTGGGACGCGTGTGAAATTAATCTCACCCCCCACACAGGCCAGCGACCTGCCTCAGGGCATGGCTTAGATCCAACTCATTTAGTCATTCCTTAGCGAGGCCGGGTAAAACCTCTCTCTACGAGGTGTTGAAGATCGTCCGCGACGATAATATCGCGAGGCCGGGGTAAGCCGCCCATCTCGACGCACTCTTATCCGTCTTCCACGACGCGATCTCATTTCCTCTTCCACGAGGCCGAGGTAAGCCGTCTACCGCGACGCACTCCCATCAGTCTTCCACGACGCAATCTCATTTCCTCTTCCACGAGGCCGAGGTAAGCCGTCCACCGCGACGCACTCCCGTCCGTCTCTCACGACGTGATCCTTTTTCCTCTTCTACGAGGCCGAGGTAAGCCCTCCCCGCGACGCACTCCAAATCGTCCGCGACGATACTATTCGCGAGGCTGAGGTAAGCCGTCCATCTCGACGCACTCCTATATATCCGTCTTCCACGACGTGAACTATTTGCTCTCGAATCTAAGGCGGGGGGTGCATCCTTTGTGCCTATCTCACTTACCCGAGCAGCTCTCATTTGAAGACCCCGGTCTCACTAAGGATGACATCAAGGTTTGTTCTAGACCAGACTACTACACGATCGGCGCACTTCGCTGATTAGGCCTATCTTTTATCCAAAACTTTGGACTCAACTCATACATTGACTTACTTTTCGCGCCTTGTGTTCTTTTTGAACTTATTTTGCAGGTTAAAAGGATGAGAAGACTAGGCTCAGCCTCACCCACCGCGTGAGGCACTCGAGCTCGGCTTGACCATCTCGTGAGGCACTTGAGCTCGGCCTCAGCCATCTCGTATGACACTTAAGCTCGGCCCCAGCCACTCAAGCTCGGCCCCAACCATTCAAGCTCGACCCCAACCACTCAAGCTCGGCCTTAGCCACTCAAACTCGGCCTCAGCCGCTCGAACTCGGCCTCAGACACTTAAGCTCGTGAGGGAGCCAAAGAATCCCACCAGAGCCGAGCCTGGACACTACTCCCCTTCACCTCGGAATTCTTCTTCGGTTAGAGAGTGGGGGACTCCGGGTGCTCGGCTCGAGATTGTTACATCTCACATCAGGAGAGGTTGGCGATCGACATCCCGACCTTGTATCAGACCGCAGCAATCCGTGTCAGCATGCACTCGTCGGTAATACACTATGATGAATAGCCCTCGACTCCGGACAACGAGTCTGGGGACTTGAAGATCACCTCTTCTCAGATTCACGCAGAAGACCTCACCCCCTAGCAATGTTTTCTTGATCCACTCTGTGGGACGAGATGTACTCTTTTTTCTAGACCGAGGATTTTTCCCATCCTCATGGGTTTTTTCCTTCGGCAAGTTTTTAATGAGACATCCCCCGTGGAGTGGGTCACACATTGACGGGGATGTGGGTGGATCTATGAAGATGACGACCTATTCATCCACTCTCACGGTGATTGATGCACTCTGGACAGTGGACCGACGATGTACAAAGTAAGAGAGCTGATCATTTCAAGACAATGAGCAGAGTATGTGTTTCTTGTCTTGCCGTTCTGAGCAGCGAGTTAGCATTACATTTCTGACTGATGGCGTTGCTTGCCTTACTTCATCGTGCTCGAGACAGCGAGTTGGCGGTGCAATTTAGAGAGCAAGGAAGACGGTGTCCTTCCGTGGCGGATTGTTGCTCTACTTCCACTTCACCTCGAGTTCCTCTCGGCTCGGAAAGTGGGGGACTCATGATGGATACCCTGGATAGGGGGTATCCGGTCTTTGTATAATATTGGTCGGGGCGATCCAATCTGTTGGACAAGCCCATTTACCGTGTATTAATTAGTTTTTAGGAGTGGCCCATACTGTTGGGCCGGCCCATTAATTTGTACGTATGCTCAAACCCTAACCCTAACTCTCCCTATTTATACCCCTCTTCTAGGAAGAGGGAGGGTGGTGGAGGAAACAATGGAGACTACACTATTCATCATCTTCTTCATCCAATCCACATCTTTTCTCCATTTCTTCTACTCTTGGATTCCATAATCCAACAAGTAATTTAACATATCCAAAATCTATTTTTATAGGTCAAAGTATTTTAACTTTTCCAAAAAAGTTATATACAAAAATATTGTTTATTTTATATGATAAAGATACCTTCGGTAGGATTAAAATATTCTTATAACTCTTAAACAATTTGAAATTGGTCCAAAGTAAACACAACCATAATCAGTGGCCCAAAACCTTCTATCAATCCAGTCCAAAAAAACAATGTAATAAAGGCTTGAACTCTCAGAAGTTTTTTTACAACTATATGCTCCCTTTTGTCTAAATTTTGTGATTTTATATTAGATCCGTTTTTTATCATAGTTTTCTACTTATTGTGTTTTTATATATTAGAAATTTTTATCATTTGATAGATACGGAGTACTTATTACGGAGTATTTTTTCAGAATTTTTATTAAAACATATAAAAATCTGACTTCTTAAAAACCCAGATCTGCTCTAATATACACCTTCATGTCAATTTTTTCAAGCAGATTTATAATTAGGCCATATTTTATAAAATAGACTTTGTGTAAGATGTGATTTAAATTTTTAAAGAAGATTTGTTTTTCTTCATCGTGCGTATTATTCATAACTTGAAACATGTTTCTCTTAGATATCATCCCTTTTAAAAATGACTAAATATATAGTTGAAGTTATCAAAAAAATACATAGATTCTTTGTTCCAAAATGAGAGTAAAAACTTGGCTTATTTTTAAGAACTTGATAAATACAATATACTAAATAATTTATTTATTTAAAAATGTTTAGTTAACTTATTTTAGTACGCACGCTTTGTTCATTAAATTGTAAATTTCAAATGTATTTAACCATTTATGAGATAGTATGTACAATGTTTCAGTGACAGATTTGAACTTATAAGTCATGTTGATAGTTACCTCAACAAAACGTGAATTTGAAGAGATATATGTAAATGAATACCTTATACATGATTTCATAGCTTATAACATCTTTTTTCAAACGACGGGTCATATTTTATAAGTAATCAATTTATTCATAACATCATAAAAGGGAGTATACATTAAATTTAAGATATAGTTATTGGACCTTTGTTTACGTGTTCAATGAATGTGGTTGAACACAAAAAGGTTTAGTTGCTCATTAATATCTTCATTGCGACAAGGTGGAAAACTTGAACAATGCAATGCAATAATAGTCTGCTTAAATAACTTAAGATAAATTTGCATATAATGTAAGTCTCTATAATAGCGATCGAAGTAAGGATTGAAGAAATAATAGTCTTAATGTAAGAAGTCAAAATTACAAATCTCTAAACAGGTACTATTTCCTTCGATCAAGGTTATTTTTCCCACGAGGTTTTTTTTGACACTTGACGATGTTTGACAAGACATCAAGATACTGCTATTCTACCTACAACATAGTACAGGGGGGAGTGTTGAAGGAATTGATAAAGTAGTGTGCTATTGTGTAGATAGAATTTATAGTATATTGTATAATACATTTGTATCGGCCCAATGGGCCCAATCATGTGAACCCTAAAGTAGCTCTCCCCTATATAAGGAGATTATTACTAATTAAGATATATACCTCTCCCTTTAACATTTTAATTTTACTTTTTCAATTATTTAGATTTTGAGTGTAAGACTCCATTCTGTTCAACTTATTTTTTCTGATCTGATATGATTTTAAAAAGTTCTGATCTGATTAGATCTGATTAGATTTTATTGGATCTGATCTCATCTGATTGGATCTGATCTGATCTGATTGGATCTCATCTGGTCTGGTCTGATCTGATCTGATTAATGATAATTTAAAATTTCAAATCAATAATTTGATTTGACTTTATAATAACGTTTGAAAATTGTAATGATAATTCATATTATAATATAATCAATATTTTTTAGTTAATGATTTTTTTAATAAAATAAAAATAGTTAATTCATATATTAGAATAATCATTCATATTATAATGTAATAATATTTTTTATTTTATGATTATTTTTTTGTGAAATTAGAATATTAATTTAATTTTTTAATAATTACTTCATATATACATTAGAATAAATATTTAATTTAGATATACATTAAAAAGTAATTAAATTTAGATAATCAATATATAGAAGTGATAGTATTTTTATTAAAATATCTCATCCTTATAAAAAATCAAAACTTTATAAACTCAAATTACAAGTAGCAATAAAAATATATTTTGAAAGTAGAATTAGATTGACATTGTCAATGTATTTTAAAACTACTTTTTCCGACGTATAATAATTAAGGATTACTCTCTCAGTTTTCTATTTAACCTGTTTCTAAAGTTTATTTTTTTTTTCATTTTTAAGAACAACAACAACAACAACAACAACAACAATAATAATAATAATAATAATCCTTGATGAGATCTGATTTTAATAAGTCCTGATCTGATCTGATTGGATCTGATCTGATCTGATTGGATCTGATCTGATCTGATCTGATTGGATCTGATCCGATTGGATCTGATCAGATTCGATATGATCTGATATGATCTGATTCAATCTGATCTGATTTTAATAAAAATAAAAAAAAAAAAGTTGAACGGAATGAAACCTAATTGACAATTGGGACCACTGGGTTAATTAATTGCTGAATTTTAATGATCCAAAATAAAAACTCATTCACCAATTTTTCTTCCAAATATAAAGTGGATATTAAATTGGGTCATTTGAGGATACGGTGAGTCACATCCGAATTGAGCCAAGAATTTCAATCAGATCTACATGGAGAACTAAGGTGTTTACAAGGGTATAACACTGCATTATTCTGAATTTGACATTATTCCTTTGTTTTGGTGCCGATTATTGTTAGAATTATGAGTGTTGATTAATTCGGTTCTCTCATATGGATTGGGTGTTTATTCTGAAACGGGATAAATACAATATTTTGCATTTTCTGCTTGTTTAGATGTTGCACTTTTTATTCTGCAAGTTTTGTTTCACTTATTGTGCTTGCTATAACTTCGACGGGTGGAATAAAATTTGGAATATTGGCTTTTTGCTTTGCTGTGTTTGACTAGGCAATGGGAAACGTTTGAGTAAGCAAAAATAGGGTTGAGCTTCTGATTTTGGATGGTGTGATGAATTATTGAGGTCAAAACACATACCAAAAGGATTTCTAAAATGAAAATGGTTTATGTCTTTGTTAATCAGATTTCAATATATGGATATATAATATCTTTGGTTTGCAACGAAATGGATTATAAATTTGAGTAGTTGGCTTAGTCTGTACTTAGTCAAACGGCAATGATGTCAAGTTCATACTAAACAGGCCTTAAAAGAACATGAAATTTTTTTTATAAATCGTTGGGGTTTTATAAAGATAGTTGCCTGGTGATGCCTAAATACAATTAATGCATTGAATTTTTCAATCATTTGAGGCTGGTCTCAGTAGTTGAAAGAGTGAAGAGTTTTTGTTCTAGGTGTTGGGCTTAGAATAAAACATTTGAAATAGGTAGGGAAGGCTCTAGATTGTTCGTTGTCTACAATCTGGCCTAGTTTCACTGGCAGATAATTGACCAATGAAATGATTTCAGCAACCGTTCTTAATCAAGAAGCCAATCCTACTTTTCCAAATCACTTGCACTATTTTTCATTCTGCACTGTCTTTTATTTCAAATCTCTCTGGCTAATCTGATCAATCTCCACTCTATATTCTCAAATTCTTTCATTGTCATTCTACAGTTATTGTATTCCTTGTTCATTTGCAAACAATCAACTCCCCAAAATGTTGACTCATTTTCCATAGGTTTTAGCTTTAGTTTTAGTTTGTTTAGTGTTTTACTTTCTTTTGATCTTTGCAAGAATACACTCTCCCTGTGGATATCCCTTATTTACCACTATTCTACTCTCAACTCCCAAGTAGAAAACTTGTAAAAAGGTTTATATTTGTTACACTCTGACGAGGTATCAACAATTTTTTGTGCCGTTGCCGTGGAAAGTAGTATTTCTTCGTTCAAGTCATCTGTTTTTAGCAAAAAAAGATCAGAAAAACAAAAAAAAATCTAAAAAAAATTAGTATATCCTTTTAATTGATTTTTTTACTTACATTAGTTTTTAATGAGTTTGCTTTGAGTTCAGAATGGGGTCCAAAAAAAAGGCAATCAGGCAAGAATTGCTGCACTATTTAGTGTAAATTTATGCTAAGGATTTGTGGCAATTACTTCTGCCAGTTCTTAATCTTGATACCTTATGTGCTCAAATATGTCCTCCTTTTGTGATTTGGAGTCAATGAAGAATCAGCTGTTAAGAAATCAAGTTCATAATTTGGCTCTAAAAATGCAAGAGTATCTTTGTAAAGAGACTATTAAGAGTGTTGGTTTAAAACAAATTAAATGTGAAACTTGTTGTGGGCTAGGACAATCTTCTTATGCTTGTCAATATTTGCAACAAAGTCATTGGAAATCTGTTTTTTATGATTTAATGAATAGATTTCCCCAAACCTCATTCAGATTTGCATTCCAATTCTTCAAGACAATGTTGGAAAAATGTCTCTCCACAGTAATATTCTGTTTTTAATGAATCCTATCTTTACCCCCTGTGAAGTCCTTATTCATATCTTCAAAATGACAGTTGGGAATATACTCTAGAGCATTATAGTTCTGACTTTTCTATCCATCAACCTAATGAGGATGATAACATTACTGAAATGGAAAAAAACTTTTTAGAAGTCGATAAGAATATGACCTCTATTGAAAGTGGTTATAGGAATTATAAAAATCAACTTCAAAATGAGTTTCGTTAACGAAGAAATTATAGATGTTGATGGTGAAAATCAGAAGTCTGAGCTTGAAGCCAAAAAAAATCTTATACCTCTTTTGAAAATCATGAAATTGATCACTTTTCTCAATTGAATCAGACTCCTTTTTCTTTTGATACTACAAGTTCTGATTTGTTTGAGAAACAATATAAAATAAGCGAAAGAGATTATGAATCTAAATTCAAAGAGGTTCAAATAGTTGAAATAGACTTTCAAAATAAAACTGAAGCTAATGGATTATATATTGAGAATGAATCAGAGTTTGATTGGGAATTTGTTTTTCAAGATGGTGACAATTATGTATACTTTAAGAGAGAGGTAGAGTTCAAATCTTTCTCAATTGAACTTGAAACAGAAGATAGTTTTCATGCACATAAAGAATTAGACCATGAAGATCAAGAGACTGCACTCTCTGGGATTGAACTAAGTGTGGAGAAAATAGCCCAATTATGTTTCAAAATAGAACACTCCATATTCTTATTAGTCCTCCTGGGGAACTTTATATTCCTGTCATTTGTTTTAGAAATGTGATGTTTGAAATGACAAGTTGCTTATTTCTAGAGAACCAGCCCATCCATTTGCCTATACACTCAATGCTTGTAACAGGGGAACTTTGTCAAATGATTTTGATTGTAAAAGAGCAAAATTTTTAATATTTGATGGATTTACTCGAAATCCAACATTAATTTTCCCTTTTCGAAGATGAGAACTTTCAACAAGAAATAAAGAGGCACTTTCTTTTGAAAATGAATTGAATCGTTTTCCCAAAGTTGAAATGGAACACTCTCTCACTTTGGATGATGTGGATAGCGAGAAGCTTTACTCTGTTTTGTTACAATTCAGGGATTTGAGATTTGAAAAGTGTGAGGATGTTCACTCAAATCTGATTTTGTAAATCAATTTCGTACAAATGAGAAGAACTTTTCAAGCAATTGCAATAAGTCATCTCATTTGAAATTAATCTCGATTCCTTTCCCAAAATTCCTTTTCCTACCTAGTTGGTTCTTGTGAGAAAATATGGTGCTTTATTTGTTGTTAATCAAACTACAAGATGCAACTAACATGCTCTGAGAAATGAAAATCAAGTTTGGAAACCACTATAATTTTATACCATCAAAAGAGTCTAGCAAAATACATTAAATGGGGCAGCTAACTGGGAGGCAACCCAGCATTTTTTGTCTTTTGTTTTCATTTTTTCTTTCTTTCTTTTTGTCTTTGCTTTTGCCACCTTTAGCACTGCAGAATGAGGGACCAGATTGCTTTGCTCTGCAAGTCTGACAAATTAGCTGAAATGGTATAACTGGGAGTGTTCTAACTTCTTCTCTCTTTCCCTCTGATTGTTTCAGGTTCGTTGTTTGATATACTTGCTGAAAATTCTGTGAAGTCCCTGCCCCTTTCTCTCTTGGTCTCACTCTGTCATGTGCTTATCTGAGAAACCTACTCCTGTTCTCTCTTGGCTGAACTCTATAATATGTGAAGTTGATTCCTCAAGCCCTTCTTTGCTTTGCTTGATTCTACAGGGTTTCCCGCCCTCTCTGGTTCTTGCTTTTTTATGCTTTTTAAATGTGTGGGGAGTTGCTGCTAGTGTCGTCTTTTGTACTAGGAGTCCTGCAAATGAGGACACTGCATTACTCAATTGTGGGGGGGGGGGGGGCCNGTCCATTCTTACTTTTCTCAAATCTGATTTTGACCGGTAGAGTTACTGGTTTGCTCATTTTCAATCCGAACAAATCTGATTGCAATTTTAAAAATCTAAACTCTTGCTGGTTTTGGGTCCATTTAGTGAGTCTAATTTTGAAGTTACATGGTCTTGAATCTGGTTTCCTGATTTTTTTATGAGCTATATTGGTCACTTTTGGGAAAATTTCTCTATGATTGTTTGGGTTAAATGGCTTGTTTTGTTAGAAAAAAGACTTTATTGCACCAACACCCCATGCGGTTTGGCAAATGTGCATCTTTACTCCCCATGGTTTCAAAACTTACACCATTGCCCCTCATGGTTCTAATATTCTTACACCAATATTCCTCTGGACAAAAATATCCTTCAAATATTAGGTGAATAACTCTGTTGCCCCCTATGATTTTTGTAATCAAATGAGGGACGAAGGAAGTACACAATCAAAAGTTGTTGATGGTGTAAATTTAACTGGGTATGTTTGACCGGGTCTGACGTGGTCAAAACAGACTCTTATCGAGTAAGCCAAACACACTAGAAAATAAGAACACAAGAATGACCTAGACCAGGAAAGAATTCCTTTGCCTGAAATTATATTTCTTACTCTGTCTCAAGAGTGTACAAATGTGTGTATGAATGATTGCCTCCTCCACCTCTTACAATCTGTTTATATAGAGTGGAGAAGGTTAATTAAAGTAACAAGCCCTTCCTCAGACGTAGGCCTAGTGCCAATCACCATCTACACAAAGAAATAAGCCCTTGACCCGCTGCTTGCTAACCTAACCGTTAATGGGCGCCAATCTCACCCCTAATTACGTTCTCCGGCGGTTTAACGCGATTCTCGCCCCGTCATTAAGTCCCGAAGATGGCGGGGTAGATAGCGGGATAGCACTGCACGCGCCATCGCCGAGCACTGTGTTCATCGATCAAACCCCTGAAATTTGGTCGTGCTAATACGAGGAGTTAATCCTTCAAATCGCCTTCCGTAAGGACCATGTAGAAGAACGACCATGCAACAATATGACCGGTCAGTTTTGGGGGAAGAATGACCGGTCAGTTTCACTAGCATTACGTGCTACCTCAAACTCAACTTAAGTTCTTGATCGGTCATAGTTGAACTGTCACTTCCTATGGGTTCGGGCAGGGTATTAGTTATACCCATCAGTTGTCGAGAGAAGAGAAAACAAAATTGTAATAAAAATTGGGACAGAGGGAGTATTTAATACAATACATTGAATGATAAGTTGATATATATAAAAAGTTGCATCTAATTTACTCCACGTGTTTGTTGATTAATTGTAGTTTTACATTATTTTATTTTTTTCAATGCAGTCTATTCTGCTTAAGGCTCATCATAGCTTAGACATTGTAGCTCCTGACCAGGTTAGCATTTTCATCAAATATGAAAATGTTCCACATAATTTACTCCACATGTGGTTGTTGAGTTAATTTAGAATTACTTTATTTTATTTTTCCTTTAATTCAGCTTATTGCACATGATTGAAAAGATATTCGAGTTTCTGACTAGGTTGAGTCATATTCACTCATCTCTATTTTAATATTAGACTCTGAGCTATTGTTATTTTCCTTTTCTTTTTCTTTCTAAATTTAGCCAATTGGGATCTATGATGATGCTGAAAAGAAGCTGCATGCTCCTGCTGCTCTTGCTAGGTCCATCTTCTAGAAGAGCTTATAATGTCTATATCTGTAATGCCTTATTCTTACTTCTACCAAGATGTTACAAGTGCTGTTTGTAAATAATTTGATCTGGCCGAGACTGGTTTGAGGAAATGATGGTGTTTTTAGTCTCTAGATTGTTTACTATAATACTCTGGCAATGTGAAAGTGTAATAAGGGCATACAAAAAACTATAACAATGCAACAATCTGGGGACTAAAAACACTGTCATTTTCTCAAACCAGTCTTGGACAGATCAAATTATTTACAAAGAGTACTTGTGAATATCTTGGTAGAAGTACAAGTGTGAGAATAAGGCATAACAGCTATAGACATTATAAGCTCTCCTAGAAGATGGACCTAGCAGGAGCAGGAGCAGCCAGCTTCTTTTCAGCATCATTAAAGAGACCAATTGGCTGAATTTAGTAAGAAAATGAAAAGGAAAATAACAATAGCCTAGAATCTAATATTAAAAAAGAAAAGAGTGAATATGATTCAACCTCGCTAGGAGCTCAAATATCTTTTCCATTATGAACATCAAGTGCAATAAGCTTAATTAAAGGAAAAGTAAAAGAAGGTAAAACTTCAATAACTCAACAATCACATGTGGAGTAAATTAGTTGGAACTTTTTCATATGTGATGGAAATGCTAACCTCGTCAGGAGCTACGATGGCCAGGCTATGATGAGTCTTAAGCAGAATAGACAGAATTGAAAGGAAAATAAAATAAGGTAAAATTGTAATAAATCAACAAACACGTGGAGTAAATTAGGTGCAACTCTTTGTATTCAATGAGAATGCTCAACCTGGTCATCACTAACAATAGCAAGAGCACGCAGATTCAATGCGTCATCAACAACATCAGGCTGAGGTATAAGTGGTTGAAAAAAATAACAATAGCTCACGATCACATATTTTGATTCTAACACTTCGTTTGGAGATATGAAATGTACAATCAAAAATCAAATATGGAAAAGGAGTGAATCAGAAAGGAATGTGCGTCAACTGACCTCAACTTCAGGATTAGCATGCATATTCAAGTTATCAATAACATCAGGGTGGAGTATAAGTGGCTGAAAAAAGAAAATAACATTAGCTCTCAATCACAAATGTTGATTCTAACACATAGTTTGCAGAAATGAAACGTACAATAAAAAATCAAATAGAAAAGGAATCAATTAGAAGGGAATGTGCATCAACTGACCTCAACATCAAGATTATCATGCAGATTCATGTCATCAACAACATTAGGTTGAGTATAAGTGGCTGAAAAATGAAAATAACAATAGCTCCCAAACACAAATGGTCATTCTAACACTTAGTTTGCAGAAATGAAACATCCAATCAAAAATCAAACATGGAAAAGGAGTGAATTAGGAGAGTATGTGCATTAAGTGACCTCAATTTCAGATCAGTCGCGGAGCTGGTGTCTTTCTGTTCCCCTTTGCGATCGGTCTATTCTCTCCTTGTTTTTTTACTTTTCTCCGATCTGTACTATTCTTTTTCCGTTCTCTCCTTTTTTTCCTTTCTTTCTGGTTTCTTTGTTAATGGGTGCATTTGTGTTATATCTCTAGGGTTCTAGTGACACCCACGTTTGGTGACAATAGCAGTGCCACTTTCATTTTTGGGTACCTTCGGTGTTCCGATCGTAAAATTGACGATTTCTACCCCCTAAACCCATCTCCTAACCCCCACTCTACCTCGCCTATGCACCCCAACCCCACCATAAGCACCTACAGAATGTGTGGCTATTATGCATTGCATCATTCCTATTTGTTTTAGAAATGTGATGTTTGAAATGACAAGTTGCTTATTTCTAGAGAACCAACCCATCAATTTGCCTGTATACTCAATGCTTGTAACAGGGGAACTTTGTCAAATGATTTTGATTGTGAAAGAGCAAAATTTTTAATATTTGATGGATTTACTCAAAATCCAACATTAATTTTCCCTTTTCGAAGATGAGAACTTTCAACAAGAAATAGAGAGGCACTTTCTTTCGAAAATGAATTGAATCGTTTTCCCGAAGTTGAAATGGAACACTCTCACTTTGGATGATGTGGATAGCGAGAAGCTTTACTCTGTTTTGTTACAATTCGAGGATTTTAGATTTGAAAAGTGTGAGGATGTTCACTCAAATCTGATTTTGTAAATCAATTTCGTACAAATGAGAAGAACTTTTCAAGCAATTGCAATAAGTCATCTCATTTGAAATTAATCTCGATTCCTTTCCCAAAATTCCTTTTCCTACCTAGTTGGTTCTTGTGAGACAATATGGTGCTTTATTTGTTGTTAATCAAACTACAAGATGCAACTAACATGCTCTGAGAAATGAAAATCAAGTTCGGAAACCACTATAATTTTATACCATCAAAAGAGTCTAGCAAAATACATTAAATGGGGCAGCTAACTGGGAGGCAACCCAGCATTTTTTGTCTTTTGTTTTCATTTTTTCTTTCTTTCTTTTTGTCTTTGCTTTTGCCACCTTTAGCACTGCAGAATGAGGGACCAGATTGCTTTGCTCTGCAAGTCTGACAAATTAGCTGAAATGGTATAACTGGGAGTGTTCTAACTTCTTCTCTCTTTCCCTCTGATTGTTTCAGGTTCGTTGTTTGATATTCTTGCTGAAAATTCTGTGNGGAAACCACTATAATTTTATACCATCAAAAGAGTCTAGCAAAATACATTAAATGGGGCAGCTAACTGGGAGGCAACCCAGCATTTTTTGTCTTTTGTTTTCATTTTTTCTTTCTTTCTTTTTGTCTTTGCTTTTGCCACCTTTAGCACTGCAGAATGAGGGACCAGATTGCTTTGCTCTGCAAGTCTGACAAATTAGCTGAAATGGTATAACTGGGAGTGTTCTAACTTCTTCTCTCTTTCCCTCTGATTGTTTCAGGTTCGTTGTTTGATATTCTTGCTGAAAATTCTGTGAAGTCCCTGCCCCTTTCTCTCTTGGTCTCACTCTGTCATGTGCTTATCTGAGAAACCTACTCCTGTTCTCTCTTGGCTGAACTCTATAATATGTGAAGTTGATTCCTCAAGCCCTTCTTTGTTTTGCTTGATTCTATAGGGTTTCCCGCCCTCTCTGGTTCTTGCTTTTTCATGCTATGTTATACGGGGCAGAGTGTTGAGCGGTTAAGAAGACTCATGTGCGTTGTTTGCATGCGGCGGAGATGCGGATGTTAAGATGGATGTGTGGGAAGACAAGGTTGGATAGGATTTCGAACGAAGTTATCCGACATCAGGTAGGCATGGCGCCGGTGGAGGATAAGTTGCGGGAAGCGAGGTTGAGATGGTTTGGGCATGTGAGACGGCGGGACGTTGATGCCCCTGTGCGGCGGTGCAAGAGGATCACGGTTATCGGGGGAAGTAGGGGAAGGGGTAGACCTAGGAAGAATTGGAAGGAGGTGATTAGGCAGGATTTAGGACTTCTCACCCTTACTGAGGATATGGCCTTAGATAGGAACCTTTGGAGGACTAGGATTAGAGTAGCTGGTTAGAAGCTCAGTGCTATAGAGGTTTTTTGTAGTGTGTTGTGTTTGTTTGGTATCTTCTACTTTTGCTTGCTAGACTTTCATTTCATTGTACTTGGTGCTTTACCCTGTTATATCCTGTTATATCTTGTTATCCTGTTATATTGTGTTCTCTACCATATTTTTTGTGCAGGTTGAGCCGGGGGTCTCTTGGAAACAGCCTCCCTACTGGTTTGCTCATTTTCAATCCGAACAAATCTGATTGCAATTTTAAAAATCTAAACTCTTGCTGGTTTTGGGTCCATTTAGTGAGTCTAATTCTGAAGTTACATGGTCTTGAATCTGGTTTCCTGATTTTTTTATGAGCTATATTGGTCAATTTTGGGAAAATTTCTCTATGATTGTTTGGGTTAAATGGCTTGTTTTGTTAGAAAAAAGACTTTATTGCACCAACACCTCATGCGGACAATGCGGTTTGGCAAATGTGCACCGTTACTCCCCATGGTTTCAAAACTTACACAATGGCCCCTCATGGTTCTAATATTCTTACACCAATATTCCTCTGGACAAAAATATCCTTCAAATATTAGGTGAATAACTCTGTTGCCCCCTATGATTTTTGTAATGGGCGCCAACGGCCCCTCTCCTTTTTTTATTGTTTTTTTTTTCTATTCTTTTTTCATAAAGAGAAGAAAAATGTTTGTCTGCGAAATAATGAAACATTGTTTTTTCAAACCTACATTTTAAGAAAGGTTTTTAAAAATAAAAAAGGTTTGTGTTTGAAATAAAAAAATTAACATATACTTCTTTTGTCAAATTAAATATCTTCGTTTTTTGTCTAAAAAGTTTTTATTTTTTTGAATATGTCGGGACTAAAAGAATATAGAGTAAGGTCTTTTTAATATATAGTTAATTACATAGCAATAACATTTTTTGGACCAATGCACAAAAGATTTCTATCATGACTTAATTTTCCCTATTCTATAAAAGTATTTTTTCATATAATTTTTTTTTAATTTATTTTCTTTTCTATTCTTTTTTTCTTTTATTTTAATTTTGATTATATTAAAAAAATGGCATAAAATTAATGAACAGAAAATGAGTTATGAGCTTTAGTGAAAAAAGGAAATATTTCATTGATTATCGTATCATGAAAATGAACCAATAAAGACATCTTTTGGACAAAAAATAAAAATGTTTAATTTGAGGCAAATGAAGTGTACGTTAATTCTTGTTATTTAATTGATTTTTAATGCAAACACCAAAAAAATTGATTATTAAAACATTATAAAAAAATTAAAAGCATTTATGAAAAAAGTAGTAGAAATAAGAAAAACTATAAAGAAAGAAGGGCGTTTGCTCCCATTTCCAAAACTATAGGGGGCAGTAGAGCTATTCGCTTAATATTTTAAGGATATTTTAGTGTAGAGGGCATTAGCGTAGTAATATTAGAACCATGAGGGGCAATGGCATAAGTTTTGAAGCCATAGGGGGTAACGGTGCACAATTACTAAACCACAGGGGGTCATGGTGACCCTTAGAAAAAAAGTTTTCAAAGTTGGGGGGGGGTCCATTCTTACTTTTCTCAAATCTGATTTTGACTGGTAGAGTTACTGGTTTGCTCATAACAGATCTGATTGCAATTTTAAAAATCTGCATTCTTGCGTGTTTTGGGCCTATTTAGTGAGTCGAATTCTGAAGTTACATGGTCTTGAATCTGATTTCATTTTTTTGGAGCTAAATTGGTCATTTTTGGGAAAATTTCTCATATGATTGTTTGGGTTAAATGGCTTGTTTTGTTAGAAAAAAACGTTTTCCAAATGGAAGCCTTTTTCATCATTTAAGGGGCATAAAAGCTGATTTTTCAGGCCTGAATGGAGCAGTTTTAGGGGCTGTTTGACAACTTCTGAAGAGGTAAGTGTTGAACCAACCATTAAGTGCTGAACCAGTAAGAGGTCTGAACCATTAAGAGCTAGTGTATTGCTTAACTATTCAGAGGCAAATGAGCCATTTAGACATCTAAACCATTAAGAGGCTGAAACAAAGAGTCTGAACCATGAACTATTAAGTGCTGAACCATTCAGACATCTGAATCATTAAGAGGCTGAAACAAACAGCCCCTTAGTGTTCAAAATGTGCTGGTTTCAGTTGACTTATGAGTACTTTGAAGCTCAAACTCAATTTTGGACTGCTTTTCCGAATCAAATCAGTTTAAACTGAATGTTCTAAAACAGTTTGGTTCGTAAAGTTCAAGTTTTACTTGAGTCTGTTTTCAACTAACACAATTTGACGGAATCAAACCTTGGCGAGCACTTTGGTTTAAGAATTAAATTTAGAAAACATGTACCGTCTCATTGAGTGCAAAACTTCTTTTTTTGGAAAACATTTTTTCTAAAAGATTTTTTGGTTTGAAATGAGAATCATGAAGCGTTCCTTCTTTTTGAAGCTATTTGTTCTCATTAAAATGATCATACATAAGGATCTTTTACACTATGTTTGGTTCAAGGAATTTGAAATGGAAAAGAAAAGAAAATGAGATGGAAAATATCATTTCTTGTTTGGATAGAGAGAAAAAGAAAAGAAAAGTGGAAAGAAAAGGAAATGAGAAGACAAAATATATTAAGAGGAGGGAAAATCAAATTCTTCCCATTTTGGTGAGGAAAATGAGAGAAAACCATTTTCTTTTCTTTTCCTTCCAAATTTCTTGAACCAAACATAGTGTTAAAGTAGTTCTTAAATTGGGATGGAGGGAGTAGTATGTTCTAGCTGAGAAATAACCAACTTGGCTGGCGTGAGTGGTATGTTGCTCACTTTCCTTAACACTATGTTTGGCTCAAGGATTTTGGAAGGAAAAGAAAAAAAATGGTTTTCTCTCATTTTCCTCACCAAAATGGAAGGAATTTGATTTTCCCTCCACTTAGTACATTTTGCCTCCTCATTTTCTTTTCCTTCCACTTTTCCTTTCTTTTCCCATCTAACCAAACAAGAAAAATGGTTTTCCACTTCATTTTCTTTTCTTTTCCCTTTCAAATTCCTTGAACCAAACATAGTGTAAGTGACTTATGTATGGAAAAGCCAAGGTAGGGAGAGAAAACCCCTTATTAATACACGCACCAATGAACCAAGTGTGAAATATATAAATTTTCAAACCACAATACTCAAAAATGAGAAAATAAAAAAACAGAAATAAGACCCAACTAATGAAGAAATTGGGCCCTTGGATATGTGCATAAACTCCTACTGCAGCAATACTTGAATTGTGGCTGTTTTGGTAGCTTCGATTTGAGAAGAAATGTCTTGAAAACAAAAGAAACCTCGTAGAGTTTTATTTTAATTTAGTTGTTTAGGAAAATGTTTTCTAAACAACAAGTTTTGCCCCCCATTAGTGTGAATCTAGTTGTTAAGTCCATTTCTTTTACCTGAGTCCTTGGCGAGTTTTGGAGCATTCATTGTGTTAATTTTAAGTTGATTTAGGTCAAAAGTGAAAGTTAGTGACTTAACAGCTTTGAGCATTGAGTTTAGGCATTTGATCCTAAAGGTAGTTTATTCCTTGAGAGTTTGAGTATTGATAATTGGGGATTGTCAAGGATTCTAATTGGTATTCTAATGGTCACGATTCATTTGAAACGAGGACATTTCAAGGTTTAAGTGTGGGGGTATTTGTTAACTCTTTAATTTCCCTATTTTTATCCTCCAGTTCTAGTCGTGTTTTTATACATTGATTACATATCATTACTTCTTTTAGCATATTGTCTGCATCTATGCATGTTAGGCACAAAGTTTTTTTAAAAGATAAAATGGGTCTTTTTAGTACTCTTTTGTACTGCTTGTTAATTCATGCTCTTTGCTTTTTAATATCACTTTTCAATTATTTAGATATTGAGCTAATTGACAATTGGGACCATTGGGTTAATTAATTGTTGAATTTTAAAGGTCCAAAATACAAACCCATTAACCAATTTTTCATCTAAACATAAAGTGCATATTAAATTGGGTAATTTGAAGAAGAAGGTATATAGTATAACGTTGTACCAGAAGCAAGGTAGTTTCGATAGTACTCATTTTGAAATAAAGTAGTACTCATTCTTGCATAAACATATGTGTTCAGTTTGAAATACCGAAGTACTCATTCTGAAATGTCGTAATATTTTTTTGCCTGAAATTATATTTCTTATTCTGTCTCAAGAGTGTACAAATGTGTGCATGAATGATTGAATGTCCCTTCTCCACCTCTTACAATCTATTTATATAGAGTGGAGAAGGTTAATTAAGGTAACAAGCCCTTCCTCAGGCATAGGCCTAGTGCTAATCACCATCTCCATAAGGAAATAAGCCCTTGACCGAATGCTTGCTAACCCAACCGTTAATGGGCGCCAATCTCGCCCCTAATTACGTTCTCCAGCAGTTTAACGCGATTTATGCACCGTCATTAAGTCCCAAAGATGGCGAGGTAGGATAACGGGATAGCACTGCACGCGCCATTGCCGAGCACTGTGTTCATCGATCAAACCCCTGATTTTTGGTCGTGTTAATACGAGGAGTTAATCCCTCCATGTAAAAGAACGGCCATGCAACAATATGCCCGGTCACTTTTGGGGGAAGACATGACTAGTCAACTCAACTTTTTGACTGGTCATAGTTGACCTGTCACTTTTCTATGAGTTCGGGCAGGGTATTAGTTATACCCATTAGTTGTCGAGAGAAGAGAGAAAACAAAATTGTAATAAAAATTTGGACGGAGGGAGTATTTAACATAATACATTGAATGATAAGTTGAAATATATAAAAAGTTGCATCTAATTTACTCCACATGATTGTTGATTTATTGCAATTTTAACTTATTTTATTTTTTTCAATGTAGTCTATTCTGCTTAAGGCTTAGACATTGTAGCTCCTGACCAGGTTAGCATTTTCATCAAATATGAAAAAAGTTTTACCTAATTTACTCTACATGTGGTTGTTGAGTTAACGTAGAATTACTTTACTTTTTTCCCTTTAATTTAGCTTGTTGCACATGATAGAAAAGATATTCGTGCTCTTGCCTAGGTTGAATCATATTCACTCATCTCTTTTTTAATATTAGATTCTGAGTTATTGTTATTTTCCTTTCCTTTTTTTCTAAATTTAGCCAATTGGGATCCATGATGTTCGTGAAAAGAAGCTGCCTGCTCCTGCTCTTACTAGGTCCATTTTCTAGTAGAACTTATAATGTCTATAGCTGTAATGCCTTATTCTCACACTTGTACCTCTACCAAGATGTTAAGAAGTGCTCTTTGTAAATAATTTGACCTAGCCGAGACTGGTTTGAGGAAATGACGGTGTTTTAGTCTCTAGATTGTTTACTTTAAAGTGTAATAAACGCATACAAAAAACTATAACAGTGCAACAATCTAGAGACTAAAAACACTGTCATTTCCTCAAACCAGTCTTCGACAGATCAAATTATTTACAAAGAATATTTGTGAACATCTTGGTAGAAGTACAAGTGTGAGAATAAGGCATAACATCTATAGACATTATACGCTCTCCTAGAAGATGGACCTAACAGGAGTAGGAGCAGGCAGCTTCTTTTCACCATCATCATTAATCCCAATGGGTTGAACTTAGAAAGAATAAGAAAAAGAAAATAATAATAGCCCAGAATCTAATATTAACAAAGAAATGAGTGAATACGATTCAACCTGGCAAGGAGCTCGAATATCTTTTCCATCATGAGCATAAAGTGCAATAAGCTAAATTGAAGAAAAAATAAAATAAGGTAAAACTAAAATAACTCAGCAACCACATGTCGAGTAAATTAGTTGGAACTTTTCATATGTGATGAAAATTCTAACCTAGGCAGGAGCTACGATGTCTAGGCTATGATGAGCCTTAAGCAAAATAGACAGAATTGAAAGGAAAATCAATTAAGGTAAAACTGCAATAAATCAACAAACACATGGAGTAAATTAGATGTAACTTTTTATATGTAATGAGAATGCTCAACCCGGTCAAAGATCGCAGTCAACGGTCAAAATCTAGTCAGCATCCCTTTGATTTTACTTTTTCAAAAAAATTAAAGTGTTGAAAAAATATGGTGAGCTTTGCACTGGCCAGTGGTGAGCTTTGCATCATCTGACCAAAGAATGTCATCCCACCGTAAGGAGTCATCTATATATATATATATATATATATATATATATATATATATATATATATATATATATATATATATATATATATATATATATATATATATATATAACGCCCCACATGGCGTAAAACGCATACCTCGGAATAATCGAACACAACAATACCGTAGAAAGAAGAAAAAAAGAAACAAATACGAAGGAGAGCCACACTAGAGGAAGACCTACACCGTTGCCGCTGCCTCACTGTTTTGTTCTACTTGGATATTCAGGTTTGATGTGTTTAATTCGTCAGATAATCGAGGTAAGTACGTGGACATCTAACGCTAGATTACATATATAGGTTTGAAATTCATGTTTGTAATCTCGTGCAATTGATTATGTAATTTATTTGAATATAATTTGAATTATGATTTATTAAAATTTGATGTTATTGAAATTGGGTGATCGATGACGGCTAGGTATGTTTGTTATTCGAATTCATGTTGTTTGTCTACTAAGTGTTTGCATAACGCTTTAATATTATTAATGGTTGAAGCTGGAATCAGAAACTGAACTTCCAGTATATTTCTGTGGGAGATGTAAGTTCTCTATCGTCCGATGGTAGGAGACTACCGTCAAGTACAACAACAAAACATGATGAAGTGCTGGACACTACCAAGGTACCGTGAAACGGTACCAAGGTACCATATCAGATAGAAACTAGCCATCTCTGCTTTTGTTTGTCTCGATTTGAATTCCAAATTTACTCCAAGACACAATAAGGGAATGATGTTTACACCCGACGCTAAATCGTTGTTTGTATTATATGGTATATTATTTGAGCATTGTTGTTTTCTTATAATGTTGTAGATATATTCTTGTTATGCCTTAAACACATGAAGTAAATAGAGTTCTTTGTTAGCTTGGACCCGAATATCTTAGTAGGAATAATGACATAAGATGGTAGAGGAATTCTATGACTAGTTTGTGAGAATTGAGATTGTGAATTAAAAATAGATGGTAGAGCATTGTGCAGTTAGTGTCCAGTGACATTCAGATAAAGATGTACGTATTTGGAATCTGAGATCTGATCCGTAAGGTTGAAGGTTCCACCCAACTGGCGTCGTAGGTACTTGGTTGACTAGAATCACTGCCGTAGGTAGTAGTTCTGATGTCATAGAATAGACTTGAGTCATTGCAGTAGGTAGTGTCTCTAAGTCCTAAGATAAGAATGTAGATAATGAGGCCTTCACTTAGAATAAGTTATGAGCTAGTATTTGATATGAGCTATTATAATGACTTGAAATTTGTGATAATAAAATGTGCATGTGAAGAAACAAGGTAAGTAATCTGAAGTATTGTAACACCTTAATCCGTTCAGGTCTGCAGCCCCTTTCGGATTAAAGTATAAACTTGGTAATCATAAAATTTAAAACATTTCAAATACGTTTATTTATTACAATAATATTTTTCATAACATAAACAGTATGAAGTTTTCAATATTGCAGAAGCTTAACAAATCTCAATCACAATCATAATTAATTTATGTCTTTCAATTCAAAACCATCACATCCATCCCGACAATCTCGCTTCTGTTTGCCTTCAGTATCACGTTACATCATTCTTTCTATTTACCTGCGTGTAGCGAATAACACATACTACACGCTAAACGTTGAAGCTGAGTAATAATATCTAATGCGTCGACCATCCATATAAATTGAATCTCAAATATAATCAAATCATTTGATATCATGCACATAATGTTCAATTCAAATATTCAGCATTCATGGTTTTGATATTGTTCAGTTCTTATCAATACATGTTATGCAATTCAGATATTCATTATTTCGACAACGCTCTTAATATTCGATCAAGAGACCGCGAAGCTGGAGAAGGCGATGAAAGATGCTTTTTTTAACAATGACCGGCCAGAGCTTGACATTGAAGGACGTGAAGAAGCCCGTTGCAATCAGATACTCATCTTCTCTTGGTTTTCTTCTTCATGACTGGTCTATTTTAAACAATATCACAAAATCTTTTAAAATCATCTTGATAAAATATGTTAAAATCTATCACTCTCCGTAGAATTAAAATAATACATGAATTATATATAATCTTCAAATTCGATGTTATAAATTTATTGAGGTGTTTTCAAAAAAAAAAATTGTTGCGGTTTTTACCGTAAATGAAAAGGTTGGGTAATCTAAGGAAAAAAAGGTGGTAATTTGAACATTTTCAAAACTCAAAAAAACACCAAATGTTTGGTTTCTTCAGGATTTAACAAAAGTACAAAGCCAGTCACGTTTTTGGCCTCCCAAACCCTAATTTACACTGAATTTGAAATTTCAACAACTCATCTACTAATTTTTGGCGATATCTTCAAGGAGGGGTTCCTGTTCCTCCACCGCCACATTCACCGGCGACGGCTGCATCATCAGCATCGACGTGAACGTCATTTCCCGGCCAGAGTAATCATGCGTTGGAATTGGCTGCTGCCTCAACTCAAATCGGCAACAGGGCGGAGTAATCGAGAACAGCCCGGCCTCCGTCCTAGCCGGCTGGACATACCTGCCTCCGCCGCTGGCTAGGGGATCGTTCGCGAAAGGCGGAACAGGGTTCGCCGACGGCAACTGCATAAAACTGCCGGCGGTGTTGTTCGATGGCCGGGGTCCGCCCAACCCTGCCATACCGGCCTGCAGAGGGCGGTAAGCGGCGATTACCCCGGACGGAGAGGTGGTGACGGCCGAAGCAGGGGTAGATCCGGTTCCGGTGGCCGAGATGATTGCCGGCTCGGCCTGGCGGAGGAGCCACTGGATGGTCTCCCCCTCCGTGCGGTGGCCGAGCTCCCGCGTAAGCTGGAAGATGCGGGCGGCGCAGAGCGCCGGCATCCTCACTCGCCGTCCGCGGCCGTTCACTTTGGTGTGTCGGTCCTTTACTAAGCCAGTCCTCCCGGCGGCGGCGGCGGCGGTGCTTAGAGGGGCAAGGTGGTAAATCTGGGTTTGGGCCGGGCATGGAGATTCGGGTTCTGGGTGAAAAGGATTGGGCAAGTTTTTGAAAATCATTTCAGAACCCATTTATCAGATTCGGATTCAGATCTGACCCCACCACTGAGGGGAGGCCCCATTTTATAGTTGAGAAATCTCCGTCCGGATTTGGATTGATGACAAGTGTGTTTCGAGGCCGGGCCCGCGTACAACTGTGTTTGTGCCTGGATTTAGTAGGACCCGCGTCAGCACCTCTTTTCATTGAATAAAGTAAGGTGCTCAAAGTAGATACTTCTATAGAAATTTATTTACACTATGTTTGGTTCAAGATTTTGGCTGGAAAAAGAAAAGAAAATAGGAGGGAAATGTTTTTTTATGTTTGGTTAGTGAGAAAAAGAAAGAAAAAAGTGAGAGGAAAAGAAAAGTAGGGAGAAAATGAATTAAAAAAGGGCAAAATCATTTTCCTCTCGATTTTGGACGGAAAACGAGAGAATCCATCACTCCTGTCTTTGAAACCTTCGCTCCCGTCTCTGCCATGTCTTCTCGCTCACCCATCTCTGAACATCGATCGCAGTCCTAATTGCTGCGATAAACAATCGCAATCCTGTCTCTGAACTTTATTTCTCTATCCTTGTGTTCTCATGAATACAGCTGTTAGCTTTTACAGTAGTGCTCAAGAAGAGATGAATAACCATGGATAATCATCATCCCAATTGTCAATGAAAATAAATGAATAAATGCTTCTTCTGTCCCTTGTTTGGAAACAAGAGAACTCAACAATAAAGTGGAGTGTTTTCCTCTTCTTATTTTCTCTCCGAATTGGACAGAATGTGAAGTCCTTTAACATCAACTAATCCTCTTCGAATTGCAACTAATTAAATTGCAAGTTCTTTTTGTTTGGTTATATATTTTTGTTTATGTTAATTAAATTGCATGATGATGAAGAAACAAAAGATGTGTATTGGAGCAATTGAAGTGGGGCTGGAGTCATAAACATATTAGTCAATAAAATCTTTTGGGTTCAAATTTGGATTTACATTGTTTTCTCACCAAATTTCCTTTTAACCAAACAAAAAGAGCTTGAGAATACATTTTCTTCATCAATTTCCATCTTAACCAAACATAACTAGAATTTTGAGTTTCTTTCCTTTTCTTTTCTTTTCCTTCTCATTTTCATTTCTTCCTCAATTCCTTGAACCAAACATAGTGTTAGATTGTATTTAAACATAATGACTTTTTTAGTATAGTACAATATGTTTTTTTATGTTCCAAAATAATATCAGGGTCCGTTTGGTATACGGAATTGAAGGAATTGGAATTGAATTGCAATTGAAATTCCATGAGATTCAATTCCATAGAATTGAATTCACCCATTCCAATTCATTTTTTACACTATCAATTCCAAATTCACATAATTTTTGTGCTACCAAACACTAGAATTAGAATTGAAGTCCTCAATTCCAATTCCATAGTTTGAATTCCATGTACCAAACGGGGCCTCATTGTTCAATATCCACTATTCATTGTTTTAGTAAATGTTCTTCGTTACTTAACATTCTTCAAGCTAAATGTTCATCATCACTGGATATTATTTCCGCCACTAGACATTATTCAAGTACTATTTAAAGAATAAAAAAATTTAAGTGCTACGTTGGGGAAGGAGATACAGAGTATGTTTTAGTGCTACTTAGTGCAAACTTCATTACTTCCATGGGTGTTCCCATGTTCTGTATAGATACGTACCGACGATAACTGTCTATGCTCCATAAACGATTATGACATTCATTTGGAGCTTCCTAACACAATCCCTTTTCAGTTCTCACCTTCTTAGTGCCTTTCTGTGTTATACTTTTTTTGAATAACGTGTAAAATTTTAGCATTTTTATAATCATTTTGATTATAAATTGGTATGAAAATTAATCTACATAAATTACATCATTTAAAAGTACATAAAAAATTTTATAAAACAAGGAATACTATTTTTTTAGTCAAATAATCAATAAAAATATACAAACAAATAAAAATTATCAGGAGATCCGGGGTCAAAAAATAAACAGTAACAATGTTAACATTTTGATCGGCTAAGAACAACAGACGGAGTGTCGGGTAAAATTAATCATCTGTTTATAAAGTCAAGATCAACTTTTTAAGTGAAATGTTTAGACTGATAGCATAGGTAAAGTTTCACTCTTATATATATGCTAGTTATATTTTACTCCCTCCGTCCCCCTAAGATGTTCTCATTTTAACTTTTGGTGGTTTTTAAGGAAAGTTGAAAAGGGGTGAAAATTTACCATAATACCCTTAATGAAAAATGGGTGGAGTGTATTAAATGAGGTGGGTGAGGTGTAATAAATAAAGTAAGTGGGGTAGTTGTGGTATTTTAATTGTTAAAAAATGAAATGAGAAGATCTATTGTGGATAAAGAAAAAGGGCTATTGAGAAAATCTATGGGGGACGAAGGGAGTATCTTTTTTTAGTGGGAACTATAACATTCTCCCTAAAAGTGGTAATTAGGCTGATCTAATTAGCATTTGGATATATGGGTCTAACATTTGAATCTCTTTTAGCCAACTCAACTCAAATCACAAACGTAGCTTATTTTGCGAAACCCACATTTAACAACCAGAAAGACTCAAACTCAGACCGGATCTGTCCTAATACCATGTTAAAGTTCTAGTGGGCCAAGAACAAGAGAGAGAGTGCAAGGTAATATTAACCACATGGATATAAAATCGTGATCCATTTTCTAATTCAAAAGCTTAAACTGATAGATGGAGTTTCACTCTTCTATATATGCTAGTGTATTCTTCTTTATTTTTTTGATGTGGGAAATTCAACACCCTTCTTCAATATTAGAAATAATTAAAGAGGAATATATCAAAATGGAGTATCCATGCATACACCAAAGACACATGGGAAAAATTTAGTGGAGTAAAAGACCACAATTTAATAGAAGTAGTCATTGGGTTGGATGAGTTGAGATGGATTGAGTGGGCATAAACATTCAAGGGAGTCTAAACTAAGTGGGGTATATTCAATTCAGATTTTAAAAGATTTTGATAGATTATTTAGAATCTATGGATTATATAAAATTAAAAAATTATTTTAAATCTACGTAAAATTAGATAGATTATGATGTATTTTTTAACACGATTTTATAGGATTCTCTCTGATTGTTTATTACTCCACGAGTATCTACAAATTATTTTTTCTTATTCCTTCCCTTTTTTTTCCTTTCTCATTTTTTCTGTACATATCTTTCTTTCTAGGTTTCTCCGTCCATATCTCCCGTGCTTCTTCTTCTTTTTTTCTTCTTGCTTTCTTATTTCTTCTTCTCATCTTTCTTCTTCTTTTTTCTTCTTCTTCTCCATCAGCGCAGAGGGAGGAAAATCCCCCTAGGACAGTGCCACCGTCGCCACCATCATCCTTAATTTCCATCGACCCGTCGAGGCCGGATATGATGACCTTCAGCACAACAAAATGACGGCGGTTACACGATTTTGTTGCCACCTCCCTCCCTACTTCACTCTCCTGAGGAAATTCAATAGCCCTCGGTATCACTCATATTATTATACTCCATCAAATTATAGTGAGAAAATCAAACGATTCTCAATCGCAGGCCCATCTACAGATTCAGTAATGGCTTCTGCTGCTAAAAAGGTGTTGTCTGAAATTCTGAACGGTTTGGATTTCTCCGTTAGGTCTTTGAATTGACAAAATTTCGTTCGTGTAGGTTTGGGTTCTGGTGGCCAACGGGACGGAGCCGATTGAGGCAGTTGTGCAAATTGACATACTGCGGAGGTCATAGTGACTTCGATGGAGAAGGAGCTCTGGGACGAAGCCCTACACGGAGTCAAAATCCCCCAGGATAGTGCCACCGTCGTCCTTAATTCCCGATCCTAGGCCACCATCATCCTCAATCTCTGAGATTGCTTGTTTTGATTTTGGGAGTTTGGGTTTGTAAGGGGAAATTGAGGGAGGGGATGACCGAAGAAGATGAAGAACCGTGCGGGAAGAAGAGAAGGAAGATGGACAGATTTGGAGTCCACTCAAAACTCAAAATCTAATTGTAAAAAGTAACGAATTTTGTCAACTGTAGCTTTGCAAAGAATGTGTGGGTGGCATCATTTATATGATGATTTACTCCAATTAGGGTTATTCATCTCTGTAGAACTAGCCTGAAGACAAGACCTATTTAGGTGGATCTCACCCATAGTTTCAATACAATCTTAAGAAAATTAATTATATTATATTAGATGATTTTTTGTTAAAAAATTTAAATTAAAAGTGAGAAATGAATGTGCCTTTAAAATGGAAAATACTTTGAGCTGATGGCTATTTTATGTGGAATTTTGTTCAAGTCTTTGAAATGTTTAATACATGGCCTGTTTGAAAATAGCGGTAGAGATTAGCGTTAGCATTTTGGATAAAATTTCAATGGTGCATATTACTTTGAAAACGCTAACGCTAAACGTTGCCCGTAGATAGTCTTTTCAGAACGCTAACATTAATCGCTAACGCTATTCCCAAACAGGCCCACACTCTATTGGTAGCGCGACAAAGGCTTGTAGCACTTCTCTAAAGTATCTGCTAATTGTTGCTAAACCGCGTTGAAGTTTATCAACGGTTGTACGATATGTAGCCCTTTAGTCAAAATATATAAGGCAATTCCTACTTGTTGAGCAACAAAAATAGATATTTACTATTAGTTAGTAACCCTTTGTTCGCATACATTGCACTAGATTAACAACATCTCTATCCAGTCACCGTTGTTCCTTGCACAAATCGAGATGAATACTCAATAACCTATGTATGTAATCACAACTAGGTTCTCCCCTGACTCCCAAGGCCAAGGACTGTCGTTAAGTGGTGTGAGAAGTCTTTTCAACTCTTCTAATGTAATGATCATGACACAAGTTTGAATTTGATTTGTATCCATTCTACAATATAGAAAGAGCAAAACAATAACTCATTAATGTTGGAAAATGGGTTTTTTACACACTATAATACCAAATGCTAGATGTATTATGTCATATTGATGTTGGAAAATTAGCATTTCATATTGTGTCGTAAGAATGAGATTAAAAATGGTGTTACAAATTTGGAACAAAAATGTTAGGGATACACCAAATATGGTCAGGGGCGGATTCACCTTTAGGGAGTAGGGGTCAAGTGCCTCCAACTAATCATTTGTAATAAGGTAATAAAAGGATATTAAATTAAAAATTTATGTATAGATGTCCCCTACAAAAATTAATGTGCTCCCATCTAATCATGTCAAATTTAAACTTTTTGTTTAATTTTTTAATAAAGTGTATTTTATTACATATAATTATTTGTGTATAAAATAAAATTTCACACTACCTATTAAATATGGTTTACATTTAATAAATGTTTGAAACAAAATTCATTATTTATTTTATTTTGTCATTTCAAATAGCCTATAAAAAAATTCAGAAACACTGCTTTGGACCTCCGACCAATGGTGCTCCCATCTAACTGAATTTCTGGATCCGCTACTAAATATGGTGTACCTTATTTGTACGGTTGTACCTAGGGACGTAAATGAATTGAATATTTTTTGTTCGATTCGTGATTCATATTCGTTTAAGGTGATTTGTATTCGATTGTTTCGAATCCAAATACGAATACGAATCTGAATAAATATTCGAATCCTTATCGAATACGAATATGAATCAAGGGTATTCGATTCGTGAGTTTGACAAATATATTCAGAATATAAATCTAATTATACAAATTATACAAATTATACAATATATATATATATATATATATCAAATGGTTATAAAATATTTTAAAATCTAAATGAACTGAATAATTTTAAACGAACCGAATATATTTAAACGAATCGAATATTTAAACAAACCGAAAATGTTTAATATATTAAACGAACCGAATACGAATCTTAAAAAATATTCGAACCGAATTCGAATTCGAATATCACTCCATCTTAACGAATATGAATATTTTTCATGAGTATTCGATTCGATTCGGTTCGTTTACAACCCGCTTGTACCCCTCCATCCCCACAATACAAAAGCAAAAGAGAAAAAAAAAATTAAAAATAAAAAAGAAATGAAGCCTGAATCCGTCGAGAACCTTTCCAAAATCAGGATTCCAAATCTGGATCGTATCCTCTGGTCTCTGTTTAATGCGCAATACAATTTTGAGTCCCTTTGTAATTCTTCTACTGTGTCTCCACGGATTCCACCTACATATATTCCATTAACCCTAATTCGCGCGTTCCGATCATCTTTTCGGCCCCTCGGAACTCTGTTTTGACAGGTAAGCTCCTTTTTTCCGGCCCCGATCCTTTGTTGTCTGTATGGATCGAGGGTTTTGGGTTATTTTACAAATTTGGTGTTCCAAAATTGAGACTTTCTATCTTTTTCCGGTGATCGAAGCAGGTGGTTTCGATAGTTTGGGAAGATGTTGGCCGGGGGGCCTAGGCTGGAGTCGAGTACTCCCACGACTACTCTTGACAAATTGCATGAGGTATCAAGTTCGGTTCAATATCGTCTTTTCTCACAGTTTTTGCATTTTGTGTGATTATTGGTGGCTATTTTTCTCTCTCAATTCTCTCTCTCGGATAACCTCCCTGAATTGAATTCCTTGTGTTCTTCGAAATCTCTCATTTCCTAGACCAACATCTTTGATTTTTGGCATCAGTTTTGGTTAGATCATTGCAAGTTTGGTGGGTGTGCTTGGATTTTAAGAAAAATGATATTTTGGAGGATTTTGTCCCTAATATCTTTGTTGTGCTTTATGGCTGTTTGGTAATTTCAGACTCTGGACATGTTAGAGAAGAAGGAGAATGTGCTGAACAAGAAGGTTGCTGCCGAGATTGAGAGAGCAAAGGGGTTTTTTCTTGCGAAGAACAAAAGAAGTACGTCTCTGTGTTATTAGGTTTTGTTCCACGTTTGGCATTTTGCATCCAGAAATTTTCACATCTTGATGATTCCTGCGCTAGGCTGAGGTTGCTCAAGTTTGTGATCCTGTCAGCTCAGTCTTTTAGCTTAATTATCAGTTTTTATGTACCGAGCATAGTCTGTGGGGGTTATGGAAAGTGATCAAAGGATTGGAAACCTTGTTTTTGTTCTCGGTTCATCACTGCATCACCAGGGGTTTTGGGCTGTGCAGTTCCACATTTCTTGTGTGTTATCTTTTTTTTCTTTCCACATCAGTTGTCATGTTTGGATCTTTCAAGGGAGTAATATATGTTTGTGTGCATCGTTGTAAATGGTAATTTTACTTGTTCAAATCTGATCTGATGTATTTGCACACTGTAGTGTCCCTTCAGTGTCTGAAGAGAAAAAGGCTTTATGAACGTCAACTAGACGAACTAGGAGTGGTGCAACTGCGCTTACTTGATCGGGTTAGTGCATCAACGAATTTCAAGGGATGACATACAAAGTTCCTTTGTGGATATAAATTCTTACGTTCCATTGATAACAGATGATTTCGCTTGAAGGGGCAAAGGCTACTACTGAGAGTGTAGATACATCAAGAACTGGAGAAGCCGCAATGAACGCAATGCATAAAGCAATGTGAGTTGACATCTTGTTTTCTGTCTTTTCCATAGAAGCCCATACTAGTGTTTTTGGTGATAATGCTAAGTTGTGGTCCTTGGTCTCTTTCTTAGATGATACCTTCTTGTAACATCTGATCATTGCGTGTATTTGATGTTCCTGTTGGTTTGCAGAAATATTGACGAAGCCATGGATGGAATCAGCAAGCAAAACATGAGACAGGTTCGGGAAGCGTTGTCAACTGACGATTTTGATGAGGTTACTCTAAGCCGATTCTAATAAATGCATTATTGTTTGGTTATGGAATATAACCTGTAGAAAATCTATGACATGTTCAATTTTCAGGATGAAATGGATGCCGAACTAGAAGCATGAACAAGGGATGGATTATGCCAAAATAAAAAATAGTGAATATATGGCTCCCTTGGAGATGATGGAAGTTCATATGTACTGACTGCTTTCAATATTACTTCATTGCAACGAATTAAAAGTTGATCACTTGTGTCATTCTAATAAGATAACACTCGTATTGCACTAAAAAAGACAGCGAAGAGTTTCATAAGGACATGAAAGATCTTCAATGCCGCAGTCCAACTATTGAACCGCGGGTTTCTGACCATATGGAGCAAATCAAGAAAATGATTGCTCAGGTATCCCAATTACTTTTGCTTTTTAATGTTTGAATTTTCCATTGCTCGATGTGTGCAATTGTCCTGTTTCTTTTTCAATTGTATATGTATATGAGATTCAAATTAGGTAAAGTACTATTGGCAGTCCTACATTTGGTTTTCATCTGATCACAATTTGAAGATTTGTGTAATCAAAGTCAGAATTGTGTGCAGTTTGTAAAATTCTCTGCCAAGCTACATCATTTAGTACAATTCTTCCTTCACTTGTTTTCAGTATTCTATTCATAGGCTGACACGACCATTTGCAGATCATTGAAAATGGTTGTGCATATATGCTTGACGGGGATGTTTACTTCTCCGTTGAAAAATTCCCAAATTATGGCCGATTAAGTGGACGGAAGGGAGGAGATAATAAAGCAGGAGAACGTGTTGAGGTTGATATTAGAAAGAGAAACCTTGCTGACTTTGCTTTGTGGAAGGTTAAAAGAATCTTTTTTAGATTTTTGATAGGTGCTGTCTTCTCTTTATTGGAACCTGCAAAGAATCACTTATTGTGTGTCTTTTTCTCATCAGGCCAAAAAGCCCGGCGAACCTAGTTGGGAGAGCCCATGGGGTCCTGGAAGACCTGGATGGCATATAGAATGGTCTGCTATGAGTGCTGAGTATTTGAGTCATAAATTTGATATTCATGGTGGTGGGATGGATTTGGAATTCCCTCATCATGAGAATGGATAGCCCAAAGTTGTGCAGCTTGCCCAGAGAGTGAAATTACTTACTGGGTACATAATGGATTCGTCGTCATTGGAACACCTGGAAGTACTTCAAAGATGTCAAAATCGTCGAAGTTCGTCACTATCCGAGAGGTGCTTTAGTGCTGGGAAATCTTGCTCCTGTCATTTATCAAATTTTGTCTGATTCAGTCAGTTTTGATTCATTTGTGTCGTAGGTTACTGAATTGTATCATCCACTTGCATTGGGGTACTTCTTATTGGCTCCAATAAACTACTCAGAGCCACAGATGGAAATTGCATCCGAAGCTGTTTTCTACATATATCAGGTAAATCTGTCATTAAATTTATGTCAAAATGTGGTCTTTCTCTTAATTTGTTTATGGTCCTTTCTCAATACGTTATTCAACAAATTGTTTGTTTACTATTCACAAGATTAAGTTTGGTTCACCTCCTTTATCTATTTTCATTAGTATGACAAAATAATAATCATGTCACTACTAATTTTGTAAATCTTTCGATGTGCTTTTTTTAATTAGTATTTTTTTAATTCTACATCATTTTTCATATAAAAAGATTTGAAAATTACTTGAGTCAACAGTCATTGTTACACTAAAATTGTATTCATACGGGAGTTGTGTCGGAGCCATTATATGGTATGAAGAAGATAATTTAAAAGGTCGGTTACATTCTTATTTCAAGTAGTACCATTTTGGGAATTTACTCTTTATTTTTTGATGGTCCAATCTCTTAGAAAGGACCATTTTGGGCTACTTGTCTGTGGTAAGTTCAGCTCTCACCAGTAGCTGACCAAAATAACAGGTGTGTTGTGAGTCCAGAAACCGGTGATAGTCTTTGGTAAACTTGGTTTGTCAACAACATCAACCGCTTTTCCGACACGAACAGGTACTGAGATTGGTTTCAGATTCTTGTCAACGCCCATTAACATCCTAGGCTGTAATCAAGAAACAAATTGGATTATTAGTCACTGGTTTGCAAACAAATGGATCGAGAAAAGAAAAGAAATAAATGAAATAACACCTACATTGCTAAACCAAGGAAGCAGAGAACATAATGGTATCTCCCTTGGATGATAGTTTTCATTTCAAGGCACGCGTGAAGCATGGTTACAATTCCAGCTAGCGCTTTTCTATTGCAAATCAAATCAATGGTTGCAATGCTGTTTCAAGACACCGTGTCGTGATAACCACTGATTTGATTTGCAATAGGAAAGCATTGGCTGGCATTGTAACCATGCTTCACGCATGCCTTGAAATGAAAACTTTCATCCAAGGGAAATACCATTATGTTTTCTGCTTTCTTGGTTTAGCAATGCAGGTGTTATTTCATTCATTTCTTTTCATTTCTCGATCCATTTGTCCGCAAACCAGTGACTAATAATCCAATTTGTTTCTTGATTGCAGCCTAGGATGTAAATGGCCGTTGATGAGAATCTCAGTACTTGTTCGTGTCGGAAAAGCGGTTGATGTTGTTGACAAACCAAGTCGATCAAAGACTATCACCGGTTTCCGGACTCACAACACACCTGTTATTTTGGTCGGCTGCTGGTGAGAGAGCTGAACTTGCCACAGACAAGTAACCCAAAATGGTCTTTTCTAAGAGATTGGACCATCAAAAAATAAAGAGTAAATTCCCAAAATGGTATTACTTGAAATAAGAATGTAACCGACCTTTTAAATTATCTTCTTCATACCATATAATGGCTCCGACACAACTCCCGTATGAATACAATTTTAGTATAACAATGACTGTTGACTCAAGTAATTTTCAAATCTTTTTATATGAAAAATGATGTAGAATAAAAAAAATTACTAATTAAAAAAGCACATCGAAAGATTTAAAAAATTAGTAGTGACATGATTATTATTTTATCATACTAATGAAAATAGAGAAAGGAGGTGAACCAAGCTTAATCTTGTGAATAGTAAACAAACAATTCTTTGTTGTATAACGTATTTCGAAGGGACCTAAAATATTGTCTTTGCGGTCTTTTTTTAGTGCAATACGAGTGTTATCTTATTAGAATGACATAAGTGATCAACTTTTAAATCGTTGCAATGAAGTAATATTCAGTACATGAGTGTAAGGCAATTTGGGTCAATTTTCATGTTTTTGTGCATTGTTTTTGTTCACTTAACACTGTGGCCCACACCCTTGCTAAGTATGTTGTGTGGGTGTGGGAGGGTATCTCCTCGATTCTATTTCTGCTTTTGTTTAATAATTTATCTTTGTTTAATTTTTTTTAAAATACTTGTTCTTTTCAAATTCTTTCAATTCGAGTGCTTTCTAGTTTCTCCCAACTTATTCTATTTTTTCAAGGTCCTACATGTTTCTTTTTACTATCATTTTCTTTCAATATATACTTTTTAGCTCGACCAACCGAAACATCAGTTCATTAATGTATTAGTTAAACAAAGGGAATAATATTCGATGGACAAGATATTTTTTTAAAAATATTTTCTTGTTAGAGCGTCTGTCCAACCGGCATTGTCGTCTGTCTTCTCTGCATTGTCTGTCCTACGCATTGCACGGCTCAAACCATAGCTCTTCATGGATTTGACAGAGGCGGCTCCTAGAGCGTTACGCCTCGAAGTACTCGTGGTGTTTGGATTTCTCACCGGTAATCACAAGTGTGCCGTCCTCTGTGTAATGCCGCTTCATGATCCACGTGTTAGATTTAATCGTATTGTTTAATTCCTGGGCATAACTTAATTAGTTTAGATTTAAATTTTAAAAATAAAAGGGACAGTTTTGAGTAGTTATTTCTAGAAGTTGTAGGTAGTTATTTGTAGAAGTTGTATTAGTTAGTAATAGATGTGTTGATTAGTACCAATAGTTGTGTTGGTTGCTGTCTATAAATACTCCAAGAACATAGAATTCCTGTATGTAGTTCACAATAAAAAAAAATTAGAATTTTATTCTGCATTTGATTTGTTCTTCCTGTTTTTTTTCTAACACCACGACACTCTGGAGGAAGAGAGTTCTCTATCCACGGCACTCTTGATCGAGGGAGAGTCTGCCTTATCCTACAGATCATGTCTACCAGCGGTGGGATAGTGAAATAGAAACTGTAAATGTCCTTTTTAAAAGAATTACTTTCACAAGGTGTGAATTACCTAAAAATTTATTCAAGGTGTCCTTGAAAAACAGTTCCTTCACTCTAAGTTGTCCTTCGTAAAAGAATTGTTTTAAAGATTTAACAAAATTGTTTGAGGAAGAACTCCCCAATTTACTTTCTCTCAAAGATAGACTTCAAGCAAACTTGAAGAGAGGACCTATACATAACACCAATAAAATCTAATGTACTAAGAGAGGACCAATAAATAAGACCTACACAGTACACAAATATTTACTCAGGCCATAGAGGATACTCCATGTCCTCTCTAACAAATACGAATGATCAAACCAATATAAGTTTAAATAAATAATCTGGAAATTATATACTCCGTAATTTAAACTCAAATGCAACAATATCCCAGTCTTAAACTCATATAATCTAAAATCTAATCAAAATCTTGAAAGGACCAATAAATAAAATCGACCAGCCCATGCACTCAAAATCTAATTGAGTAGATTAAAATCTACTCAAAATCTTGAAAAAAAATCTAAATCTAATAAAAATCTAATCAAAATGTTGAAAAAAAATCATTAGATCATTTAAAAAAATCACCCAGCCTATAAGATTCATGTCTTAAACTCATATGTTTGAAATCTAATCAAAATCTTTAGAAAAAAATCAAAATCTTGCAATTTTAACAAAATTATTTGAGGAAGAACTCCCTAATTTACCTTGTCACGCTGATCAACTTCAAGTAAATCTTCTCTGCAACTCATTTGCTTTCAAAGTAATCGTTGATCTCTCCTTCACGCCGGATTGCTTCATAGTTTCCCCTTTCTGCGTCTTTCTCTCGATCCAGACTTGCTTGAATGCTTCATATCATCGGTGATCGCGCATGAGTGGGATAGAAGGTGACGGTTGTCGTTCTAGGCTTGCACTTCAATCTCTATGTTATTACAAAACTGCCACTCTAAAATTGGAACGTCGGATCGAAAATAAAATTAAAATTGGACCGTCAGATGTAGAACTCAATTTCGATTCTACTTTTATATATATAATAGACTTTTATATTAAGACATTTATCATGTTTTTTAACAAAGACATCATTGCATTTGGTAAGAGTATAAGACTCAACATCGTCTTTAAAAGTAGTACTTCATAATCGCGAAGGAAATGCATACTTTGTTATTAACTGTAATTTAGAGGTGGTAAGTTCCACCAATGGGTGATGCGTTTACTATATGTAGGTCAATTTTGGATGCTATCTATCTGAAATAGGTCAAATAATAAAGTTAGCTGGAGAGGAAGAGGCCAAATTGGTTCAAAGTTGCCCAAAGTTATACTGCACCAATTTAATTACATAAATCTATGATTTGTTATCAATTGTAGCATATAGGTGGTAAGTTCTCCAAATGGGTGACCCATTTACTTATGAGAATAACCAAACAGAAAAGTAAAGAAAGTTTCACTTAGAGGCTATAGTATGCAACATCTGGCAAACATTTAACATGAGCCGTTGCATCATTTAAAATTTCTTCTTCATTCCTGCATTGTATTAACAGATTGGGAGGTAAGTTTTCAATAGCCTTAGAAAAGGAAGTCAAGTCTTCTTATATGATTAGAATTCAAATTACATCATGACACAGATAAGCCAAAGTAGTACATTGGTACATGGATACCATATGAAGAATTGAAGATATGAAACATCTTTGGAGTACAAGGACAGCTTATATTGGTCGGTGTCCACTCTTAAGGTAAAGGCATACATCATTCACTTTAAAAGGGGGTCCCCTAAGAGGGAGTCAACGGAGTCAAAGTTCCCATACATTGAGGGGATTAGAGAAGAATTTATGGGCAGCATTTTCAATGGGGCAAATCGAAACATGTAACCTTTGATACGTTTAATTAGCATACATTTCAAAGACGCAAGACCTGAAATAGGGAACAATGATTACTAAGAGCAGTTTAAGTTTTCAAGGTTGAAGTTTCCATTCTTAGTGTTTTTAATTTGCGTGTGTCAATTGGAACAAACGCAGAGCCATTTAAGTGGCCGACACAAGAGTGCAGACAAAGTAAGCACATTAAACACATCAAGACATTAGTAACATCTATGTTTAATTTTCTACTATTTTTTTTTAAAAGTTTTCAATAAGGGTGGCTTAGGAGCGAGTGGTGATTATTGCATCTTGGCTCTAAGTAAGATTTTCAACAATATCTTGAACACGCCACATTGCAACTGATAACCTTATTACAGCCCTTCTCAAAAAGACTAAAGAACTTCCTAAAAGCCGATTAAGCATGAAACTAAAGCAACATCCTATGTGAATCAATGAGGTCACATATGAAGACATCGAAACCAACTCCAATGTTATACAACGTATCTCAACATAATACTTTTCATGTTCAAGGTTTTGTCTCTAAAAGGTTCTGTACATTTATGGTTTGTGAGGATCATGGAAAATACAACATTAAATACAATTATTGAATGGCCTTTCCTCCTTAATTTCTCCTTTATTTTCTTTCCCTAGCATTTTCTGGGTTCCAAACAGACCCATAGGCTTTTTAGTATCAAAGAAAGATAAAATATCCATGCCACACAAACAAGAGTGAAAGAAAAACATACTCCGTAGAGCCTCAACAGCTTCAATTGCAATTTTCAGCCGTGTTATCCAATCAAGTGACTGTAAACTGCCATCATCCGAATGATTTTTCTTGGACAAAGAACTTGAGAGATCTCCATTCGGCATGTATTTGTACACATGAACTTCAGGTTTTCATTCTCCAAGCAATGTCCCAAAAGAGGGAATATTCCTCTTGTGTGTCATTCTCCAAGCAATATTCCTATATTTGCAACTATGATCTGCCCATGGCTCCTATTCTTGTGTATGAATTTTCAACTTGGAGCAGTGAATCAGATCCCTCTCTGTCTCTTGAAGTAGGGATTTAGCATTAAGACAAAGCAATGTTTGTAGAACTACCGCCAAAAGCCGACCATAGCCACGACCACACCAAATTATATTTCTAGGGATTTAGCATTAAGACAAATTATCAAACACTTCAAGGGCATACCTTGTTGTCAATGAAGTCAGAAGAATCTGCACCCATATTTGCATCCTGCCTTTAGCCCTAGGCCGGTAATTGTCAGACCATTTTATTGAACATTTTTTTTTGTAAAAATCAAATCTTACCAAGTGGGTAAAAAATTGAGAAATATAGAAAGGAATGATTTGGGGAAACCCTAAGCTCTTACCGAGAAGCCGAGCAAGAAGAAGTGATGATTTGCACGGCCTCTCTTCTTTTTCCCCTTTCTCTTTTTCGGACCGAAAGTTGCAGATGTGAAAGGCTCCGATCGTGTATAGTCCTGCGGGGGGAAAGTGGTTATGGCGATTTTTCTATGGACGACGAGAAATTTGGGATGAAATTGGACGGTCGGATCGTTCAATTGGGATGAAATTGGACCGCAAGATCGTTTAATCCTGGCACGAAATTGGATTGGAAATTTTGATCTTCTTTTATATATATACTACTACGTAATAGATAGACTTTTATATTAAGACATTTATCATGTTTTTTTAACAAAGACATCATTGCATTTGGTAAGAGTATCATCGTCTTTAATAGTACTTCATAACCGCGAAGGAAATGCATGTTCTTTTAAGCATAGTGATTAGTGATACTCACACCAACTAAAACAAAATATACACCTTGTCAACATACATCATTCGTCGTATTTAAGTTATTGTTTGGTGACATGCATTCTATATATCCTTTACTGATTTTTCATTATTTAACTTGCTCATTTTTTATTATATATTTATTTATTTTATAAAACATAATACATTTCATTATTATTCATTCAAAAAAGATTAATTTTGGGCATAATTTTTAATTATCTAAGTATTGTTGTACGAATGTGTATTTCACCATTTTGACATTTTAATCTACATAATTATTTAATTATTTTAAAAAAGGTTGTGTAAGTTATATTTTTTCTAAACAAATAAGATGTATAACAATTTTCCCTTTTACTCATAAAATTAAGTAAATTCCATAATTGGTCCTTTATAAGAGGGGTGTTTCCATATTTAGTCCTTTATTATCAAATATTACCCATGTAGTCCTTTTTTTAAGATATCTTTCCAGAATTGGTCCTTTTTTTGATCTTTTGCCGTGTTGGTGTTAATTTAAAGGTTAAAAGTATAATTTGACATCAATATTATGTCTAGTGATATGTTCTGATATTGGTTAAGCAGATAACACAAAAATAATGACTATGATTGTGGGCTAGGATTCTGACGAAAGATCACATTTGTAGACTATCGTTGTCGTAAAAAGCAACTGTAATTCACAAATGACGCAAACGGAGCAGCCTTTGGAATTGTGTATAACAAAAAAGATATATTATCATTGTGAAATTACATTTTTAGCCTTCAAATTAACACCAACATGATAGAAGATCAAAAAAGGACTATTGTAGACCTGTGCAAACAAGGGTCGGCCCGTCCGGCCCGCCCTTTAAAATGGGCGGATATGGACAATCTTTAATACCCACATGGGCGGGCCGGCCCAAGCTCGAATTGTATTTGGGCGGATCTAGAAATTACTTTTAGCACATCCGGGCCAATAGGCCCGCCCATATTCATTAAACACATTTACTTTATTATTAATTATCTAGACATAATAAATTTTAAAATTTCTTTAATTCATGTATAATAGTTCATATCACTCACCCCTCTTAAACAAAAATCAAAATTATTTTAATGAATCTGTATGATGGGTTTATTAATTACTCCCTCTGTCCCCCATAGATCTTCCCAATAGCCCTTTTTCTTTATCCACAATAGATCTTCTCATTTCATTTTTTAACAATTAAAATACCAAAACCACCCCCACTTACTTTATTTATTACACCTCACCCACCTCATTTAATACACTTCACCCATTTTCATTAATGGTATTATGGTAAAATTTCACCTTTTTTCAATTCTTCTTAAAAATCACCAAAAGTCAAATGAGAACATCTTAGGGGGACGGAGGGAGTATGTAACAATATTTTTATTATGTTTTCTATGTAAATGTGGCAAGTGGTAATTTTATTTTAAACATTTGAAAAGGAGTTCAATATTTTCTTTTTGATTTTTTTGTGTAAAAAAGATTTACTTGATGTTTTATCCGGGCCGGGCGGCCTGGTGGGCAGTTCGGCCCGCTAAAGTGGGCGGGTATGGGTAAAGAGTTTAGCCCATGAAATCCGGGCCGGGCCAAGCCCGCCCATGTATCAAGTCCGGCCCAGATCCGGCCCGGATCCTTATTTGCACAGGTCTAGACTATTAGTGGAAAGGTTTCCATAAAAGAAGGACCACTGGGGTAATATTTGATAATAGAAGACTAAATAGAGAAACCCTCCTGTTATAAAGGACTAATTATAGAATTTACTCCATAAAATTTTAATGCCTTTTAAAAAAATTATTACATGTGGATCATTATTAAGACTACAACTTGTATTTCAAAAAGATATCATGCCTAATGATTAAAAAACATTTATATGATTCTTACCATACATTTATAAGAATATCAAATAAATAATACTGCACTTCAATTAGAACTATAGTTTATCATAATGTTATAAGTTTTAAAATGTATGAGTCCATGCAAATCGCGAGATTAAAAGTAGTTTAGAAAAAAATGAAATGATCAATATTAGTGTGTGGTGTGACTTTAATTTTTTATGTCACCACCCTTTTGTAATATTAAATTCTCATATCTTGTTGAGTAAACTTCAAGCTAAGTTGCATAATATTATTTATTTTTGACATGTTAGAATTAGAACATACCCAAATTAGCGAGTGGTATCTGTTAACATTGGATATGAGTGTTAACTGAATCTTTCCGTTATTATTATTCATTTGGATTCAGTCAAACTCGAGCTTTATGTTCTAGCTCATAGGCCTACACCATAAAAAATGAAGTCCAAACCAATCTCATCTGTCCCAAATTAATTTTTTTTAATTTTATTTTGAGCTGTCACAAATTAATTTTTTCGCTTTCTTTTTTCGAAAAGCTTTTTGTGCCTCACCTTTTTCTTTTTTCCTTTGCACCATTTTCAATCACACATTTTATTTTTTAAACTCTGTACAAAATTAAACAGTAAGTATTACTCCCTCCGTCCAAAAATTTCTTTTCTGATTTAATTTGGCACGGAGATTAAAAAAAGGTAAAAAATGTAATGACTTTCTATGTATTGTCGTTAAATGTGATTGAATAAAGTAAATAGTATAGATAAAAGTGAGAGTATAATAATATATTTATTAAAAGTTTATTACAAAAATAGCAAACGGGCAATTAATTTTTGAACGATTAAAAAAAAACTGAAAAAAAATTAATAAACGGAAGAAGTAATTTGAAAATGAGAGAATATTTTATAGGCGGTTTGTTGGGGACGGGTCGGGCACGCAAGCCCAAGATGGGGTCGAGCAAAGTCGTGGGGCAGAAATAGAATTTTCAAGTGGCAATTAACTCATCCCAATCCTGGAGCGCCTTGTCCACCAGATACCCGATCTTGGACGCCCATTCAAAATTCAAATTTTGAATTTCAAATCCCATTTACCGTTATACTCTCTTCTAATCCCCACTTCCCTCACACGAGAGACGCCATCTCTCTCTCTCTCTCTCTCTCTCTCTCTCTCTCTCGCTAGGTCGGCCGTAGGAACTCGCAGGCGCAACAATGGCGAAGAACAAATTGCCGCTACAGTCGAGCAACATCGTCAACACAAACGGCAAGACCATCGAGGAGACCTACCAGAAGAAGACGCAGCTGGAGCACATCCTGCTCCGCCCCGACACTTACATCGGCTCCGTCGAGAAGCACATCCAGAACCTATGGGTATGGGAGGACGGATCCATGGTCCACCGACCTGTCTCTTATGTTCCCGGCCTCTACAAGATCTTCGATGAAATCCTCGTCAACGCGGCCGACAACAAGCAGCGGGACCCCAAGATGGACTCCTTGAAGGTGGTCATCGATCCCGAGCAGAACCTCATCAGCGTCTACAACAATGGGGACGGTGTGCCGGTGGAGATTCATCAGGAGGAAGGGGTTTATGTTCCGGAGTTGATTTTTGGACACCTGTTGACTAGTAGTAACTACGATGACACTGTGAAGAAGACCACTGGTGGCAGAAATGGATACGGTGCCAAGCTCACCAACATCTTCTCCACCGAGTTTGTGATCGAGACGGCTGATGGCAAGCGTAAGAGGATGTACAAGCAGGTATAGTTACTCGTCTGAATCTATGTTCGTTGATTCGATATTTCTGTCATGATATGATTTATTAGGGTTTCTCTAGATTGTGATGCTTATTTCTCCCATTCCTGCAGTGTCATACATTTGCATAGTTTGAATTCGTGGCATTCATATATCACGTTAGGGTTTGGGGACATGAATTCGTCAATTTGAAAAATCATTGTAGTTTGTACCAGTGATTGATGAATGTTTGAATTGCGATCGTGGTTTAGGAGTCATTTTAAATTATAGTTCACTTGTGGCTTCATGTACCACATGCTAAAATATTCTGTATGCTCTTAGGTATTTTGCAAGAACATGGGAGAGAAGTCTGAACCAACAATCACAACCTGCAAGGCATCTGAGAATTGGACTAAAGTTACGTTTAAGCCTGACCTGTCAAAATTCAACATGGACCATCTTGAGGATGATGTTGTTGCTTTGATGAAGAAACGGGTGATAGACATGGCAGGATGTCTTGGGAAAACAGTGAAGGTGGAGTTAAATGGGGAGCAGATCCCCGTTAAATCCTTCAAAGATTATTGTGAGCTTTATCTACAATCTTCCAGTGATGAAAGCCCCAAGAGGTTCATTTTTCTATTGCTGTTAATAATTCTGTTTCTCTATAAATTTGTATTAGTTTAAATGGCTTATTGAATTTATCATTTTGCAGTGAGTATGTAAGAGTGAATGACAGGTGGGAAGTCTGTGTTAGCTTGCGGGAAGGATTTCAGCAGGTTATAAGAATGAAACATTTCAGCAATCAGGGTACACAATAAAAATTATATGATTCTGAACATTCTTACAATGAACATTTATAGGTCAGCTTTGTCAACGGGATTGCAACTATTAAAGGTGGAACTCACGTGGATTATGTTGCAAACCAGATTGCAAACCATATTGCAGCTCTTGTAAACAGGAAAAACAAAAATGCTAATGCCAAAGCAAATTCTGTTAGGAACTATTTATGGGTATTTGTCAATGCTCTCATTGATAATCCTGCTTTTGATTCCCAAACCAAAGAAACCTTGACTCTTCGTCAAGGCAGTTTTGGCTCTTCCTGTGAACTCCAAACAGATTTTCTAAAGAAAGGTTTGCAATGTTCATTCCATTTTTTTGTAATGAAAATCATGTTAATCTTCTGGATTTCATTCCATTTTTGTTTGCATACATTTCCAGTGGAGAAGATTGGAATACTGGAAGCAGTTCAATCATGGGCGGATTTTCAACAAAAGAAAGCATTGGCTAAAACTGATGGAAAGAAAACCAAGAGAGTTATTGTCGAAAAGCTGGACGACGCTAATGATGCTGGTGGGAAAGACTCTGAAAAGTGTACCTTGATTTTGACTGAGGGAGATTCAGCTAAGAACCTAGCTGTAAGCACATCGTTGATGCTTTTAAACTTCTCAACTTTTAATTCCCAAATATTTAACTAGCATTATTTTTAGACTGATTTGATTATAATATGATAAAGATCAAGCATCATATGAAGATTGAATTTTGCTACTCTGTTACAGAAGGCAGGTATNAAGAAATTAAAGCAATCAAACAGATTCTAGGGCTACAGCACAACAAACAATATGACAGCGTCAAAACACTGAGATATGGTCATTTAATGATAATGACAGACCAGGTACTTGCACTTTAACCATGCAAGTTATCATCAACATACAGTGTTATATGCATATTTTCTAACAGGCTTACTAATGTCTTCTCCAGGACTATGATGGTTCTCACATCAAAGGACTTCTAATTAATTTCATTCATACATTCTGGCCATCGCTCCTAAAAGTCCCTTCCTTCTTAGTGGAGTTCGTTACACCTATTATTAAGGTGTATTTCATGTTTCATGTGTGTGTGTGTATGCCAGTGTCTAGTTATGTCAGTTTTTTCACTGTTTTTTGCATTTATTCCTATTTTTGTAGGCTAAGAATAAGAACGGGAAGACCCTGTCATTTTATTCTATGCCTGAGTATGAATCATGGAAGAAGAGTTTAGGGGACAATGCACGAGGTTGGTCTATTAAGTACTACAAGGTTTGTGCTAAAGACAACAAATGAACTCCTCGATCCATGTCTCTACCTTTTTTAAGTGATTTTTATATGCAAGTATGGTGCCCTGGCAGGGGTTGGGAACAAGCACATCACAAGAAGGCAAGGAGTACTTCAGTAACCTTGATAAACACAAGAAAAATTTCCTTTGGGAAGATCAACGAGATGCAGAAGCAATAGAGCTTGCTTTTAGTAAGAAGAAGATTGAAGCAAGGAAGAATTGGCTGAGACAATTTGAGGTTTTGGAGTTACAAGGCTATTTTATAACTTTGCTATTATAAATAAACTATCATTTCACAATCTAACATTTCTTTTTCTTTTGCAGCCTGGAACTCACCTGGATCATAGTGTAAAAAACGTTAGATATACTGATTTTGTGAACAAGGAGCTTATTCTGTTTTCAATATCTGACCTTCAAAGGTCTATTCCGTCAGTGCTTGATGGTTTAAAACCTGGTCAAAGGAAGATCTTGTTCTGTGCTTTTAAGAGAAACTTGATAACAGAAGCAAAGGTTGCTCAATTCTCTGGTTATGTTTCAGAGCACTCTGCTTACCATCATGGTGAAGCAAGCTTGCAGGGTACCATTGTTGGCATGGCTCAGGATTACGTTGGTAGCAATAATATTAATTTTTTCCTTCCAAATGGTCAATTTGGCTCAAGAAGTGCGGTGAGTCAGCAAGATAATACATGCAATTGGCATCATATATAATATGTTTGCCCTTCATTATACAATTTCTATCTGATTCTCTATATAGGGTGGCAAGGACCATGCAAGCCCAAGATACATTTACACTCTACTTTCACCTGTGGCAAGATTTTTGTTTCCCAAAGAGGATGATGCCCTTCTTCACTACCTGAATGAGGATGGCCAATCCATTGAACCCAAATGGTAGGTAGCCGTAAATAACGTAGATGATAATTTGACATTGGTTTCTTTTATTAATTGATGGTCTTAAATTCTTTACAAACTGGACTATAACACGATACTTGGTTAGGCTAATCATTTTACTCACCTTCACCACAGGTATGTGCCTATCATTCCTATGGTACTAGTTAATGGTTGTGAAGGAATTGGGACAGGTTGGAGTTCCTACATCCCCAATTATAATCCAAAGGACATTATTGCAAATGTGAGGCGCCTACTGCTTGATGAACCAATGAAGCCTATGGATCCATGGTATAAAGGTTTTAAAGGAACCATAGAGAAGCTAGCAATCAAAGAAGCAGGAAATACTTACACAGTCACTGGAATCGTGGAGGAGGTTGATGAAACAACTCTAAGGATTACAGAGTTGCCGGTTCGGAGATGGACTGATGATTACAAGCAGTTTCTGTCCTCAATGATGGCTTTAAATGACAAAGTCAAGGATCCTTTCATAAAGGTAATTTCTTCGAATGGTTTTGGTGTTGACTCTTGGGAAAAAACTACTGTTTGCAGTTTTGGAGAATCAATATGCATTGAGATTTTCACTTTTGCAGGAAATGAGGGAGTACCATGATGTGAACACTGTACACTTTGAAATTGAATTATCTGAAGAGAATATGATGTTGGCCAAGGAAGAGGGGTTGATCAAGAGGTTTAAACTAACTAATACAATTAGCACATGCAATATGCACCTTTTTGACCCAAATGGTGTAATAAAGAAATATGAGACACCAGAGCAGAGTAAGTTTTATAGTCAATGGAATTAAATGATACTGAGTCAAAAGTTTTCTCTATATGACATTTGTAAACATAGTACACTAACTGATCTATTTGTTTTCCATCTACTCAATAGTTATTGAGGACTTCTTCAAAGTAAGGATGGAGTTTTATGAGAAAAGGAAGGCAAGTTAATGTGAACCAAAGATTTGTCTCTGTTCCATTCGCTACAATAGCCATCCATCCAACCACACTAACTGTGGAATTTTCATGGTATTTTATGTGCAGAGATTTCTCTTGGAAAAGTTTGAAACAGAGTTGTTGAAACTTGATAACAAGGTCAGGTTTATCCTGGGTGTAGTGAGTGGAGAGATCATTGTGAATAACAGGAAGAGAGCTGAACTGTTTCAAGAGTTGAGGAACAAAGGTTTTACTCCTATTCCAAAAAACACTACAGCTGTGTCTGGATCAAGTGAGGTTGCTGAAGAAGAAAGCGAGGAAAGTGGTAGTCAAGTGGCAGCAGGGGTTAAAGCAGGTGACTATGACTACTTGCTGTCTATGGCAATTGGTAGCCTCACTCATGAGAAGGTCCAAGCGCTGTGTGCGGAGAAGGACAAAATCAACGAAGAGGTTGTACGGATAAGGAATGCTACTCCAAAGTCGCTGTGGATGGACGATCTCGCTGCTCTTGAAAAGCAGCTTGATGTATTTGAACCTCAAACTTCTTGTAGACTTATATTTATTATCATCTAAAAATTGTGTCTTCTTTTTCATGTTATCTCTAAAATTGCATGTATGTATTTTCAGGAGCAAGACAAGGCTGACAACACCAGGGAGGCAAACAACCAGGAGAGGAAAAAAGTGGCGGGCAGCAAAGCTGCTGAGAGAAAGCCACCTGCTAGAAAACCGCAGGCTAAGAAGGCCGCCAAAGAAGCTGCTGCTGCTGAACCCATGGAGGTAGAAGATGGTTCTGCAATGGGCACAGACAAGGGGGTTACTGAGACTGTGAAACCAAAAGGCAGAAGCGGCGGTTCCAAGAAAGCTGCTGCTAAGAAGGGAAAAGAATCATCATCATCCCTTGTGCAAATAGATGAAGAAGACGAAGATGATGAGATTCTAGATCTGAAAGACAGGCTTGCAGCTTACAATCTTGACTCATCTCCCGATCTGTCAGAAGCCGGGAAAGCCCAAGTCCCCAAAGTCCAACGGAAAGAACCCAGCAAGAGATCAAAGAAGCAGCCGCTGCCACCACCCAAAGTTTCTGAGATCAATAACCTCAGTGATCATGATGATGATGGCCTGGACGACGAAGAAGCAGAGAAACAGAAGAAGGCGGGGAAGAAAGCCACAGCAGCAAATGCTAAAGCTCCAGCAGCTGCTGCAGCAAAGAAGAGGGGACCGGCTGCAAAATCGCAGGTGACGGGGCAGAAACTGATCACGGAGGTTCTGAAGCCTTCTTCGCCTGAAAAAAAGGTGAGGAAGATGAGGGCATCTCCGTTCAACAAGAAAAGTGGGTCTGTGCTTGCTGGAGGAGGAGGAATCACCAGTGTGTATAATGATGATGATGATGATGATGATGAACAGCAGGCGAGTGGCGGCACAGAAGAGGTGACTAACTTTGTGGCGGCTGCAAGGAGGAGCAGCAGGCCTCAGCGTGGAGCTCGCGCGAAGGCAACTTACGTCATCAGCGATTCCGAAGACGATGATGAAGAAGATGAGAGTGATCCTGAAGAGGTCATTGAAGTGGATGATGACTTTGAAGATGATGACTGAATCTGAGAAACTCTCCCTGTTGTTATTAGCTTTAATAACATTCCTTCTTCAGGTGTCAAACTACGTGTTTGTTAATAGGTGGTAATGATGAAGATCTTCGGAACGAAAAATAGCAATGACAGATTTGCTATTCTTGTGTGTTCTATCTTGCCTTAGTTATGACATTGATGGGCTTAGAATCCTTGGTTATGACATGCTACGAACTTAAACATCGTAGTAGTTAAAGGAAGGGAAATCAATCTCACATTTGATGCCACCTTTCCCATCTTGGTGACACATATAGATTGTTCTCGCATATATAGTTTTTGTTCGTGTGTTTGTGAGATACTATCAATACAAATATGGACATGTGGTGTGCAAAGTACACAATAAAAGAAGACAATTAAATTTGTCCCATAAAAAGAAAGTGGTGGGATAAATGTGGCAATGAACTTACACATAAGGAGCCTATTTCAAATCCCTTAAAAGACTTTTTTAACCTGCACACATGACATGAAAAATCAGGGTTAAGTACTAACCATAAACACCTCTTTAGTTAGCGTGTCATGTAGAAAATTGGTGTTTACATCCAATTGTTAAACATGCTAACAATGTGAGGAATTTGAGCCACACGTGAGTGAGAATAATCAATAGGTTGAGCTAGAGTTAAATAGAAACCCGCAGAGGACAGAGGTGAAGAGACTGTTCATGGGGTAAACTGTAGCGACAACGAGGGAGACGAGCCAATTTCAACAATGTGATGGTGATACCGCTCTGTAGTGTCGTTATGTTCTTGGGTGTGGGGAGGGGTGGTGATGTGAGAGAGGCCATATTTGTTAAGGAGCTATTTGTTAGATTTGTGACCAAGCAGCCATTACCTAGGAATGAGAAAAGGTTATCTACACCCTATAAATGAAAAAAGATTATCTTAGTGTACTGAGTATGATTGTATCATTGTATGAATAAGTTAATATAGGGGTGCTTATAGACTTATTACTGATAAGTAGTTTTTAATTTATAAGTTGCTTATAAGTTAGATATTCTTTAGTGGAAGTAAAATGAGATAAATAATAAATAAGCCATTTGGAAATATTCATGAATAGTGAGATACTCCACAATTTTGTAAATAATCTGGTCAAAACGGAGAAACAAAAAACTAGCTTAAAATAAGTAGTTAAGACCTACGTATTTTTTATGGCTTATAAGTAACTTATAACTCTACTTATGAGCACACAGAAATATGTCATCAGCTGACTTATAAGTTAAAAACTGTTTATAAGCACAGAGAAAACATCCACATAGTGAATGACAGTGTAGTATAGGTAGTCATGTCAAATTTAGGGCTTGCTCTCTTAACTTATCTCATTAGTTCTGATCTGATTCGATTAAGTTCTGATCTAATTCCAATAAGAATAAGTTGAAGCGAACAAACTCTTAAGCATATTTTGGCGACATTATGTTTGGATACCTATTTAGGTATTATTATCTTTTTTTAATCTTATTTCAATCCATTTTCCTTGTTCTTGCTGAGAGAATATCAATAGTTCATCCGTTTTGTTTACAAAATAATTCTACTTTAACATTTTAATCATTCTCATAAAACAGTTTCACTTTCTATAAAAAAGTTTACTTTATCCATACTAACAAAATATACACCCCTTAAATATAATAAAAATAAAAAAATGAACTCTTTTGTGAAATGGAAGGTGTGTTTAAACGTTTTATAAACATTATGTTGATTGTTTAATTTGAAAAGATTTTTGTTTTTCATTATATGAGAAGGCTTCCATGTGAAATATTTTGTGTTGAGTTTAAACGTTTTATCTGTCTATGCATTTTGTTTTTTCCAAAACAATTTTTTTAAGTGTGTTGCGTTATTGTTCGACAATTTTTCCCAATTGTTTTGAAGGTTTACAACTTGGTTGAAATTTAAAATAAAAAAATAAAAAAAGGAGAAGAAAGAAGTCATCAGATGGTGGTGAAGCCAGGGTTGGGAAACGCAAGGTCACGCCTAGGGTGTTATGAAAGAGGGCGTGACGGCAGGTGGTGAAGCCACTCCTCACGTCCCGTAACACATTGCCTAATAAATACTCTGTATATTTTTAGAGGCGCTCAAGAACTTTGTAAGAACGAGTGTTGAGTTCCATTTGAATACGGAGTTATTTTAATTATAGCATTCAAAAAAAATGCATCAAGTGAATTGTAGTAATTTTATGTTTATTTAATTCTCATTATGATATTACTCCACAAATGTTATCGTCCATTATCAATGGAACTAAAGAGTTATTATTGAGAATATTTTTGTTCTGGAGACCAAAATAAGTGAAAATTACACATTTAGATTATCTATCTTCTTACTGGTTATCAGGTTTTGAAAAATAAATGCCGCAACACATTCTAAATCCCTAACAAGTTACTATACATCTAATAATGTATTTGTAATTTTCAACACAATTTTTTTTTGACTCTGCCCCCACATTCATCAATGTAGGACTGCCCATGAGGTACATCATAGATTCATTTTGAGTGTCTATGTGTATTTGTTTTTGCTTAGTGTACAAATAAGATACCCTATTTTAATGTACCCCTAGCATTTCCTTTTCTTTTACATGATCTTGTTTATATTTTTATATGCTACTCTATAATGGAATCCCTCTAAACAACATTTAAACTTGCTCATTTCACTTTGCATACTTATTTCAGATATATAGTCCCAATCCTTTGCATCCTCATATGTTTTTGACGGTGCATTCTCATATGCTTAATGTACAATGATACATCCAAATAACTTACTTAGAATATAAATGTATCAATTCTTTGCATTCTCATATGCTCAAAGTACAATGATACATCCAAATATATTGTACACCTACACACTTGAATATAATTTTCCCAATTCGTCGCATTCGCATATGCTTAATGTACAATGATGCATCCGCATAAATTAGACCCGTACTCACTTAGAATATAATTGTCCAAGTCACGTAATTATACACATTTAATCACATGTATGTGGTTTATGTAACACTAAATGCTGCCATTTTCCCTGCACACTAAAAACTTCTTCAATAATCTCAGGATCTCAAAGCCTTTAGGCAAACAACATACATAAGAGATGGATTGCGAAGTGGGCAGAACGAGTTCCAAAAAAATGATAGAAATACCTGTGGTTCAAAATAAATTGACTGAATATACAGATTTAACTTCCAACAGCCTTGAGGAAATTATCATATGGACTTGCAGCTGGCAGAACAAGGTAGCTGGGATGGTGCTGGTATTCAGCTCCGCACGAAATTAGAGCAGTGTTCATTGAAGGCTCCGAGGCAATGGTGTCGCAAAATGGATTGCTGTTTGCCTGTGCACAAAGCAGCATAAGAGGTTTGCAACATGTAGGAGTTTAAAGTGCATCTCTACGCATGTATGAAGTTTTTATGAATGTATAGTAGTTTACCAATGATCGTATTGCCTAAAAGTGTATAAGCATGTGAAACTGCTCTTGAGCTACTCAAGATTGGCTCAGTAAGTACTCGAATTTGATTAGATACCAATAGTGCCGAGCCCAAGCTCAAGTAACAATCAAAACAAATTCGAGTATTTTACTAGTCGACTTGAGCTGCTCACAAGCTTAATCAAGCTTATTCATCATAAATATATATATATTCAAAAAAATATTTATTACTACATATATATTTTACAAACACAATACACACACATAGAAGTTCAAATATATTCACTTTTCATTTGTCAAAAGTCAGTGAACCAATGTGTCCATTTGTTAGCACAGGTTCCCGGTTTCATGTTTGAGCCCATGGAGTGGATATTAGGATGTACTTGTTTGCGATTTGATTTAATTATAGCAGGATTAATTTTCAAGGGAAAAACACACATGTTATGAAATCATAAATCTATTTTGGATGTAGAGTATATTCTGAGTCGAGCTTCAATACGCTTGAAACCAGTCCTGGCAGACTGGCAGTCCATCTCGGGTTTAGGTAGTGAAGTTTTGTGAAGGCGAGCGTCCATCTGTAACTATTTGCGTGACTTTTTCCCATGAACTGTTCCCCATGATCCCCATGAACTGTTATGATAATAAATCAATATTTCAAAAAGGTTCTAGAGAATTTAAGAAGCCGGTAGGCATGTATAGAATTCTCTAGAATGTTTTGGAATTATCTAAAGAGGTGTTGAGCTCTTTTAAACTTTGTAGAAGAACGTGGAACTCTAGAATATTCAAGAGCTTTCTAGAGAAGTGTGGAAATCTCCAAAAGTGTGTGGGAGGATGTGACATACTGACATCCTCTCGAATACTCAAGAGACATGTGGGGTCCTCTATGGAAAATTCTACAAAAGTCTAATCTTGGTGATGAGTATAAATAGGGGTATGAGATCTCATTAGAACTTAATCCAAAAAGGCTTCTTGAGGGTGATTGTACGAGAAGTGATCCTAATACAAAAAGTAAGAGGAGCGAATTGTATCATGTGAAAATTGCACTAAATAGTATTAAAACATATGTCATTTCCAAATATAGTACCTAAAACTTTTTAAACCCTAAATAGTACTCCCTCCGTCCGGATTTTAAGTTCCCATTTTGACTTTTGGTCATTTTTATGGGAAGTTGACTTTGCCTATAATTTGTCCAAAATACCCCTAGGCTTTTCATTTACCGCACACCCCTGAAGCCAAATCCTTCGGAGCAACTGGTCTAGGGCTGCCGCAGCTACTAATCGATGGCCGCACCAAACAAATCCCAAGCTACGGAACTCTGCCGCACCAAATCGACGGATCTCTCTCTTTCTCTACTGAGCAAACCAGACCCAAGGTGAATCTCTTGCCGCACAAATGGATCTCCGAATTTTCTAGATCTGAAAAAACATAAACGAGATCCAAACTCTGGTAGAAGAAGAAAATGGCAAAAATAAGAAAAATAAGGGGAGAAGAGAGGGGGGAGATGAAGGCTAGATCTAAGTAAGAAAAGAAGAAGAATAAGAAGAAGAAGAAGAAGAAGAAGAAGAAGAAGAAGAAGAAGAAGAAGAAGAAGAAGAAGAAGAAGAAGAAGAAGAAGAAGAAGAAGAAGAAGAAGAAGAAGGAGAAGGAAAAGGGGGAGGAAGTTAACGTGGAGAAGAAAAGGAAGGGGGAGGAGAAGAGAGATAGAAAGAATACCTGGTGTGGTGGAGAAGACACTGCCAAGAGAAAGGAAAAGGAAAACGAGAAAGGGGGAAGGAAGATAAGGGGTATTTTAGGAAGATTGGGTATTAAAACGTATAATGGGAACTTTAATTCCGGACGGAGAAAAGAGTAGAATGGGAACTTTAATTCCGGACGGAGGGAGTACTTAATTCTAGTACCAACACCCCTATATTGAAGGAGAGCTATGGCGGTATGGGCGGGAGGGAAAGGCCAATTCTAAAATGCAAACTATAATTACGGGCAAGGGGTATTTTCATATCTTTAGACTAATATTAAATAATTAATAATTAAATTAAGTTCCTTTTAGGAAATTTAAAACATTAAGTACTACATTCGAAAAGAGCTATGATTTAGTATTGTATAAGTAAATTTCCCTTGAATCATTGTAATATGTAATCTTACTTGTACATTTCACTAGATAATACTCCCCCTGTCCACTTACTCCACTAATTTACTTACCCTTTTGACCGGGCACGGATGTTAAGAAAAATTAGAATATGCTTTGACTTTCCTATACTACCCCTCCCCTTCTTTCTTCCTCAATCGGTGTGACATGGTTATAATTGTTCCGACTCACCTCTGTCTTCTGCCAGCACTGCACTTTTTATACTTTAGTTCTGTTTATCCACGTACTCCATCGATCTATATACTCCATAGCTTAATTAAAGGAATGGATTGATTAACTTTCCCCGCATCTTTTTTGTTTACCACGACCTCTTCCCTGTTAACTTGTTCTATCCACAACCCTACACTAAGATGGAGTAGAAATTGCTGTAGCATGCAATCCTTCTCCGTCGGTTGGTGGCACAGATCTGCCAGGCCGGGTAGACCCTGGCTCTTAAGATAATTTGAGGGGTGCACCCTGACTCTGAATCTGATTGTGTAGGCAACGTTGATGACACGGATTTGCTCGGATGGGTTTTGCGGCGACTGGTGAGGATGGAGGCAGAAGCAGACATGATGAAGATGTGGTGAGCCTGGAGGTGGAAGCACATGTGGCGTTGAAAGAAGGTGGAAGACGTATGGTTAGCCGTTAGAGGGGAAGAGAGATAGGGATAAAGTTAGGTCGGGCGATATTGATTCAGGGTAAATATGCCATTCAACCCAAAATTGTTTGCTAGAAAAGGAAATGGGAAGAAAGCTTGTGGACGACCCGAAAAGGAATGGGGGGAGAAAATTAGTGGACGAAGTACAAAGTTTTTTTAGGTCATGCCTTTGTGTGATTGAGTGTGTGAGTGAGTGTATCCCAGTTTGGTTGATTGAATTGAAGAAAGAGGCTTTCCCCCAACATGAACAACCCTTATAATTAGCCTTTAACCATATATGAGTATGATCCATTAAAACTTACTATATGAAGCTGATCAAGTAGGGAGTAAGATGGGCTGATATTTTCCAGGAGGAAGCCTGTCTCGTTACACAACAATGCATTTTGTTGAATCTTTTGGGAACTCATAAAATGCATCTTTTTCTGCTTTCCCATTTGAAGGGCTTCACACTGGTTAGCCATGTCTTTGAAACTCATGACAGAAGGAGCTGAGACAGAGAGTCTTCCGACATTTGTTGTCTCTGATACCTGCAGAAGTTCACCAGTACGAACGATTAGAAAATCTGAAGGTTAACTTTTTGAAAGGATTCCTACAAAGTAAAAATCATGCACAGTAGGGATAGATTTTGATTTTGTCGGGAAACCGCTTAGTAAATGAGGATATCCCATAAAGTTACTGGTTTATAACTAACTGAAAAAATTGAAGAAGGAAATTTCCAAAGAAAATTGAAGTTAAGTTTACTTTGGAAATCTAACACCAAGAACCAAATGGTTATGTACTTAATTATCTGGAGAGAAAAAACTGTGCCATCGCTTGATCATACGCTTGATGGATCCCGGTCTTCTCACAACTTCACAATATCTTATACAGATGGGTTGCACAAGAAAAGAAAGAAACAAAACCTACCGAATCCATAAACTGATTGATGTCCAGAAGGCTAGGGTTTTGTAAGAGAAGTTGAGAATTTGCATCTGCCTCACTCTCAAACCCATCAGTCTTAAGGATGTGGTCTGCAGTGATGATCTGATGTAAAGGCTGCACAACCACGTCAAATTTATGTTGAAAAAAAGATTATCTTAGAAGGGAATGAGACAAGAAAGCATTTAATCCCTAGTACCTCATCTAGAGCTTTGGACCCAAACTGGTAGATTTGGGCAGGAATTTCATTGAGCAGTTGAGCCCCCAATGGACAAACATCATCTGGAAGAAATTCTTGAAGTAATTGCTCCTTAATAAGATTTGTCTTATCCTGAAAAGCTTTCAAATGACTAGTATACATTGCGACAAGCAAAATATGTCTTAAAGCATGAGAAAGGAGAGAAGTCAGAGAAAATACCGTCAGTGACTTCTTCAAACTTTCTACTATCATTGATGCAAAAGTTTCTGTAGATAATTGCTTAGATATCTCTACTTCTGATAGTGATTTTAGAGCATCATTATCATCCTCTGGTGATCCATAAACTATGTTAGGATTTAAACTAACAACCTGCAATTTGGAATCATCCACCAACCGAAGGAAAGGATCTGCCTGTTCAAAATCATCAATAAAAAAAGTAACCAAATCACTAGTTATTATGGAGTCTCTCCACCCCTAATGGGTAGAGGTAAGGTCTAGGTATATCCTACGCTCCCAGCCTCCCAGGACCCCACTAGTGGGATTACACTGCATTTGTTTTGTACTAGTTATCAAATATTCCATTCTGACAAGTAGCTAATTATTAACTAATACTGTCCTGCTCACTACAAGATTAAGATATTTGAGTGGAGGGTATTTTATTAGCTTGAGTAAAATCATCGACATGTTTATGTGTGTGGGACCTTAGATTCTTTTTCATGGAAAAAAACATGGAAACTGAAATGATAACAGGTATGATATGAACCTAGAACCTTTTCATTCTTCATGAATTATGTGTTCCAAAAAACCAAAAGTGTAAACTATCTATAGAGAGGACATTTATTGTTAATGAATTACACTCAACAGCAACCAACAACCCGTCATAAATGTAATAATTAAAGAAAATAATAAATGTGTATCTTTACTAGTATACGGCTCTTTTTAGAGTGCAACATTAGATGCTTCAATTCGTTTGAGGTAGGCAAAACAATGTAATTAATGAGGTGGAGCAAATACTTCTACACATATGCTTAATTAAAATTCATAACACTTACTGTTTCATCAGATACTGCATCTTTGGCAGAAACAACAAGATGGGTGAAGTTATATGCCTTTGACAAGAAAATTATCATAGCTGTTGATACAGTAAAGAGTGATCTGCGACGTGAAGGTGGCAACTGTCCTACAAACATGAAAACTATGATTTCAGGAAAGAGTGCCTAAATGTGGAGATTCTAACTGCTTAAGTGTGTGTTACTGGAACATCAGGGATAAAACTTTAAATTCAAGACAAGTGGGCAACAAGATGATAAATGTGGGTTAGGTTATCATAAAGAGAGTCATGGTAACCCAAACTGTAATACCTCCCCCATGAAGTGAAATATTCCTCAATGAAAAGGCAAGCTGGAAACTACGAATAAGGACTTCATCACTGGACTTCTGTAGTAAATGAAAGAAGCATGCTGTCAGATAACCAAGCAATATGATACGTTCTTTTTTGGGGTCAAAACAGTGTTGTCCTCCGTACTAAGGCTAAAGAGCTCCTAATTATAGTGGAGTAATGTTTTAATTTAAAAGGGGCAATTGGTTATATCCTTGTAACTGTACAAGGGAACATTAATTTCCAGAACCAAAATGACCAAGGAACTGCAAGACTAATAGTATATGTGTATCTAAGTGAAGGTAGTACCAATTTCCCCTTAAACAAGAGCATAGTAGTAAATTGAAAGGGTAAAATAACTAGGATGTAAGGCATGATTAATATCTGCATTTGCATTCCCATGGTGAGGTGATTACCACACCTTCATTTGCGAAAATAACACTACCAAGCTGTATGTATGAGCAATTGCTTCAAAATCCTCAGGTTTATTTGAAGGAGAGATCGCTTGGACCCATATGGAAGAAAGCAGTATACTCATTTGTCGTGTTTTCAGCTTGAGAGAAGTGCCCACCTGCACAGGATAACAGTGTCATTGTGAACTACAAAGAAATCTTTTTGTCTGAAGAAAAAACATGCTGAAATGATAAACATACCGCTTCCCTTTCTTCTATACCCGATGTTGATTCTTCATTAATTTCCGTCAAGGAATTCCTTTTAGCCGAATAGATTCTGCTATAGCTTGATCTTAACCGGTTCAGCACAGATTGGCCATTGAGAGTTGCAATCTCATCCTGGAAATCATTTTCCTTTCTTTCCACACTTTCTCGTACTGAGAGGGGCTCCTTACTAATTTTTTCAAATAAAGCAGCTGAAGAAGAAAAAACGGAAGTAGTTCTGGAAAGAGTTCTCTGAAAGCTAGCAGTCACAGTTGAGGGCAGAACACCACGATAAGGACAAGGGCAAACAGATGAAGGAACAAGTACAACAGAAAATACACGATGTGCCCCAATCCTCGTCTCATGGTCTGGTGAAACCATGGCTAGAAGAATTTGATGGAACAAAGCCTCAGGGAAAGCCTAGAAAGTCATAGTTAGAGTCAGAAGCATTATTTTACATAACATGAAGGTAAAAGGAGGGGTGGGTGACTTGCCTTGTTTTGATATGAAATATTTGGCAATGATGCTGCTATTTGAGCAGTACGGTACACAGTAGCAATTGTGTTTCTGGCCATTACTGGTATGTTTGAGATGCTTTCCAGCATTACTGCCATAACATCAAGAATTTGGCCAGCATCCCCAATCTGTTTTGTACATGATTACATGATCATAGATTAGGTTGGAAGGCGAGATTTCTTCCCTCTTTTTGGATAGTATATCTGGAAAAGAATAGATATTCTCCAAGCATTTGGAATAACTAATGATGATGACGGTTTTAGAATTTTTAACTCACTATTCCCTCTTATGATGATTGCGATAAAAAGAGAATCCAGCGTAAACTATTTCCACTATGCTTTTTGCATGAATTTATAGTATTAGATAATTTTATACAATTAATTGGCATTATGTATTTAATGTCACTGAACTCAACTACTTGGGATTAAGGTACCGCTTATGAATTATGATGACAATGATGATGAACAATGGATAAACTAATCTTAAACATGAATAAATGATAACAATTTCACCTTACGAGAAATCTGGACCAGGCATTCGTCAACTGCAGCACGATATTTTCTGTTCCATTGAATTACTTCTTCCCCCATTTCTGAGTCATCAAGGGAACAGTGTATGCTTTTTCTGAGGTGTCTCATCATATCACTAAATGCACCCACAACTGTAGCAGATGTCTGTGCCTTCGTGTACACAGAAAGAGAGGTGGCAACTTCAACAATATCTACCTGCATATTAGGGTTTTTTAGGACATTCTTGTGATCGAGGTGCTTGATTAATGTGGACAACAGAAAATGTGTGTTATGTCCTGCATTTAAAGAGAAGAAAAATTAAGTGCAAGGAAAATGACAATGATGGCAACAGATAGCTTGCATTATCAAATATCTATAATCTTGGGACCAGAGGAAAGCACCAGAATTCTCCATAATAAATTGCATGTCCAGCAAAACAGAGAGGGCAACTCCATATTGTGTTGACCAAAGATTTCCATTATCAAAATAACAGAATAGAGACTCTAAAACGCGTCGCACAGTTGTTCCCTCCTTGGCTAACTTTGCCATGTTATGTAAGCACACCTTAGACCAGAACTTAGGATTTGAAAATTCTTCTCTGCTCAAAGATTAATAAGAGATATATGATCAATAGCTCAAAACAAATCAGTCATGTCTTAATCACAACAGCAGGAGAAATTACAAAGTCACATTAAGGCCCCTATCAGTTAAAATATTCCTCCAAGAAGTAACTCTTGTCATTTGATCATAAACTTTTCCACCCATATAATTGTGGGCATCTCGGTAATCCTGCTGATCAAGTTTTTCCTCAGGGCTTTCATAATTTTCCAAGACAGCAGAAACAACCTGACAATGTAGAATAAAAGAAAGGAAATATCAAACATCAGAGTAACTAAGCACAATTTTGAGGGATGAAAATGATTGTAGGATTAGAGCCCAAAAGGGTACACTGCTTTAAAAATAAGATTTCAAAGTCAATATATATGAATTCCAGTTTGACACTATTAAAACTAGAATTAAGCACTCCCTACATTCTCTTTTGTGTGTTGTCTTCAGTGTTCGCAGAAATATTAACAAGAAAATAAATTTTACCATGTTAGCTACTTCCTTTGTCTCCAGATCAACTTTATACTCCTTTTGTCCCTAAAAAACTTCCGTTTACTGTATACGATGTTTAACCGGAGTTGTTTTTATTTCAATTTATTTAAATTTTTATATATGGGTGTAAAATTTAGAGACAATTTTACATATATAAAAACTACATCAAAATGTTTGCAAAGCAGCTGTTGACAAGACTATTACAAATGATTAGAGTAAATAAATAAATGAAGATATTATAGTTTGACCTTGTGAATGAAATTCATTTAGGGATAGAGAGAGTACTTTTCATTTTTGGGTGTCCAGAAATTAACTTTACACATTTTAGGAAATTTATATGTGAGCAACTTTATTTCTCTCTCTTCCAAATAATTTTTAACCATACTTTTTACTTTTCAACACTTTTCTTAAACTCTGTCTAGTCAAAGTATCAGTTTGATTTGGAGACGGAGGGAATATTATACTTTGTATATAACAAGGGCGCCATAGCAAGTATCACATTCCACTGAATGCTTTAGATTTCACTTTCTCTACAGTCTAGATCAATAAATTTTGAATCAATTTCATGGAATTAGATGTTGAATCAGGTAGGCTTTTGAAGTAGTTGGTAAGCTACCACCAAGAAAGGAATGATATTCTCCAGGTATTGTACATGTATGCAACAAGCTATAGGTTAAACGAAGAGAGAGTTGATGGAAGAAAAATGCAGAGAACCATAACTCCAGCTCCAATGTGGGATAAAAAAGAATGTATCTGTACTTTTAGACAGTATTTTCTTTCAAAATAGTAAATCCGAAAGATGCATACAACCAAGTTTAACTAATGCATTTAGGGAAAATATCACACTAGAGATTAGTCAATAGATGCAAGTGGATGCATTTATAAAGAACACCAAAGCCTAAGCTAGTTCAGGAATAAATGTGAGAATAAGAATTACAATTCTCCTAAGATGCATGACGTAGAAAGACCTCCCTCTGTCCCAAATTAAAAGTCCATTTTGACAGGACACGGAGTTTAAGAAAATTGTTGTAAAGTGAAAAGTGTGTGGTTCAAAAATTGAACTTGATATGAAAGAAAGAGAAGCAATGATGGTCACATCAACTTTACCAAAAAAGGATATGGACATTTATTTTGGGACGGACCAAAAAGGAAAGTGGGTTGCTTATTTTGGAAGGAGGGAGTATTACTTTTCCTTTTAAAGTAAAAGATGGGTGGTTCATATTATTCCATTCCTTCTTACATGGATCACTACCACACAATTACCATTTTCTTAAACTCCGTACCAAGTCAAGCTTTGAGAACTAAACTTTAGCATTAAGTTGTGGCAGGGATAGTGGAAAAATAACCAAGAACTTACATTGTCAAACTCTGATGGCATGTGTCCAAATTCTCCCATGAACCAAACCTGTCCACAAGTGCATTAACAATCAATAGAAGTTTAAAGGGAGTTATGATGCACTGATAAAAACCTGACACGTCATGGGCTCAAATTGTTCAAGCTGACAGGTGAATGATACTTTTCGCTACACTTCTGTTAGTGGTGTATTTTGATGGTGTGGGGTACAATATTGAGTGTGAGTGTAAAGGTGGGCACTTGCGGAATTAAAAGTTAGGCACTAACTAATAAAAAATAAATAGACATTGAAACTATTAATATCAAATATAGAATGCTTTCAAAAGAAGAAAAGATATATTTAGAAAGAGCCAATCCAAACAAACAAGCTGAAAAATCCAGATCTGAGTTCTGCCAATTTAAAATTAATTTTTAGCTTTAAAAATCTACACACGCAGAAGCAAATGACTCACACAGTCACATGGTATTAAAGCAGCTGTTGAAACAACCTACTGGCCGAACGTAGAAAAATAAAAAGCATAAAGAACGAGACGAGATATGTTTAAGCAGTTCAAAGAAATTCTCCTAATCTCTGGGACCCATGTCTGGGTAATAGCTCTCCACTAAATGACAACATGCTAAGATTTCGGCTGCTACACCTCTATCGAGGTCTCATCGACAGACAACATGCTAAGATTTTGGCTATCACACATTCACCTCCACCAAGATCTCATCAGGCATGGTTGGCAGTCCTTCGTTCAGTTCACCTTCATCTTCTAGACATCATGATCTTTATTCATTGAAGATTCTACTCGTAAAGTTGATCACAATCTTCTTCACGCAATGATGGCTCCAAGACAGGATAGGAACGCTCTTGAGTCTTGACCAGCTATTGATCATATATCTCTTATTAATCTTTGAGCAGAGAAGAATTTTCAAATCCTAAGTTCTGGTCTAAGGTGTGCTTACATAACATGGCAAAGTTAGCCAAGGAGGGAACAACTGTGCGACGCGTTTTAGAGTCTCTATTCTGTTATTTTGATAATGGAAATCTTTGGTCAACACAATATGGAGTTGCCCTCTCTGTTTTACTGGACATGCAATTTATTATGGAGAATTCTGGTGCTTTCCTCTGGTCCCAAGATTATAGATATTTGATAATGCAAGCTATCTGTTGCCATCATTGTCATTTTCCTTGCACTTAATTTTTCTTCTCTTTAAATGCAGGACATAACACACATTTTCTGTTGTCCACATTAATCAAGCACCTCGATCACAAGAATGTCCTAAAAAACCCTAATATGCAGGTAGATATTGTTGAAGTTGCCACCTCTCTTTCTGTGTACACGAAGGCACAGACATCTGCTACAGTTGTGGGTGCATTTAGTGATATGATGAGACACCTCAGAAAAAGCATACACTGTTCCCTTGATGACTCAGAAATGGGGGAAGAAGTAATTCAATGGAACAGAAAATATCGTGCTGCAGTTGACGAATGCCTGGGTAATAGCTCTCCACTAAATGACAACATGCTAAGATTTCGGCTGCTACACCTCTATCGAGGTCTCATCGACAGACAACATGCTAAGATTTTGGCTATCACACATTCACCTCCACCAAGATCTCATCAGGCATGGTTGGCAGTCCTTCGTTCAGTTCACCTTCATCTTCTAGACATCATGATCTTTATTCATTGAAGATTCTACTCGTAAAGTTGATCACAATCTTCTTCACGCAATGATGGCTCCAAGACAGGATAGGAACGCTCTTGAGTCTTGACCAGCATGTGTTTTGTGGGTTTTCCCTCTCAATTGCTCCATTTATTCTGAGGTCTTATATTGCAGATATATAAAATAATAAAACAAATATAGTTGGAATAGGTAACTAGAAGTTGTCTTGCATACAACTTCCTTAATCTTGGTCTACAAGAAGTTAGATTAGGACTTCTTATACCAGCAGGAAATTAATCATCCTTTCAGTTCTATTATGTCTCTGACTCTTTATTTAACAAATTGCAACTCAATTTCCGCGTCACGGAGGGATTAGATTTCCTTCATTTATGTTGTTTTTTATAAATCTTAATATAATTGTCTTACATTATATTGTGTAAAAGTATTCATCAAGAACAAAAAAAAAGAACATCAAGTAAAACCTAAATTTCAATAACTGGGTGCCTTTTTCTGAAATACACCCTGAACCTATAGAATGATAGGAGCGACCCTAACAAAGGTTATCAGTTTGGACCAAAATGACAAAAAATTATGAAGTCGCAAGTATCTCCAAACGACAAGAGAATGTTGCTACGAAACTTACCATAGAAGAGAGAACTTGAAGACCAGCACAACGCAATTTCTGCACTCTTAGCTCATCTCCCATCTCTTGAGAAAGAAGACAGATTTTTGGTATTAAGCCTTCTAGGTTAAACATGTATGTTGCATCGATCTGTAATGTACAGAAAATAGTGCATGAGGTCTATGCTTTGTTTTTGTTTTTTTTTTCTTTTTTGAAAAAATGTTCGACCTTTTGGTGGTGTTTAATATGGTAACAGTCTAACAGAAGAACACAATTACCTGATTGTTTATAAAGTCAAACAGTGATTCACATCCAACAATGCACATTTCATCATTACCGATTTGATCCAGTAAAATTTGTACAACACTGATAAAGCTTCCTGCAAACAATGGCCTGTTCATACAGTCCTTAATGTCCATCAGCACATTTTGTAAAAAGAATCAGTTAAGAGGTTTCCTTTAAAGATATTCTATCTTATTAAAAAGAATCATAACACAAGTGTCTTAAATCGTACTCCCTCCTTCCCATAGAAAAAGGCATCCTTCCTCAACATACTTTTGTCCCATAAAAAACTCAAATTTAAACAAAAAAATGCTGACTCTCATCATATCTTTAAATGAAAAAAAAATGCATGGCAAACAAGGTAAATATGTTTGATTTTCTTAAACTAACAAATAAATTTGAAAATATAACCATGTTAAGAAGTTTTCACATGTTGTACATTGAAAATCTGTACTCCCATCACCAAATTTAAAAAGTTGTACATTGAAGATATAGGACGCTTTTAATGAGAGAGGGGGAGTAATAAAAATGAAAAATATTGTCAACGCATATGTTGCACTTCCTTTGAGTTGGTATCATCCTTAACAAAGGTGTTCCACCCTTGACGAGAGGGAAATAAAGTAGTATATGAATGTCATTTTTTTGTCTACAACGTAAATTCAGAAGTTTATGGCTACCCCACAAAATGTATTTACACAAACAATGAATAATTGACTTGCAAGAGTTCTGAAATCTCCACAGTAGTCTAATGGTTTTAAAGTCTTTCCATGCAAAACTCCAAACATAAAATAAAATGTATTGAAGTATGAGTTTCACCTCAACAAAAATCATAAACTATTAATAAAACGATATACATATGCTGTTTTGCATTTATAATCTACAAACCCTCTCACGTATACACCATTTTTTTTCAACCAAATGTGTGGAAACGTTTTGGCAATAGGTGGCAAGAGGCATTCAACCTATATAGCTTCCCTGCTTTATTTAACATTAAAGCGTATGCTCCTTTGCAAATACATATTTAAGCTATTAGAAGGGATAAACACTAGTTAGTTTCTAGTTATTAGCAACAAAGTGAAAAAAAATTCTCTATGCTAATCAAATGAGTTCTCGCAGACTCCTCATTACTAAAAACTTTAAAACTCTGTCATGAGTTTGTTTAGTTGTCTAACATCATCAATTTACTTTATCATTTGGACTCTAGAACAATAGCACAGGTTAGAGACATTGGGAGTTAGGGAAACGGTTATTAAATAAGGTAATTCATCAACTAGTACTCTTTGCCTCAAAACGTTATCTGAATTTGCAGGTCCGGTCAATATGAAACTTTCTAGTTTCTAGTTTGGTCGGATATGAATGTTTATTGTATGAATCTTTCTAGTTTGGTTTGAACCATCCTGGGCTGGTCAGATGTGAATGTTTGTGTTCTGCTATGATGTGAATGTTCATGTTCTAATATAATATAATTTGAACAAGGATATGTAATAACTATAGAAATGGTGAAGACAATGCCACCATATAATCATATTACAACCTAGGTATAAACAAAAGGTTGTTAAACTAAAGCATATAAGACAAAAATTAATGATGTGCGACTACAAGGCAATTATCCTTTTAATTCCCATCAACAACAAAAACATGGAGAAAAAGAATGGAAATGAAACAATCACCACTATTGGAAAAGATGTGCAATAATGAATAGAACCTCCAACTTTAGTCAATGTCGACGGATATAAATTAGGAAAGGGGATTTGCATGTGTATATAATAGAATGATGCTTTGATAATTGACGCAAGCAAATTGACTACAACAACCCAGTATAATCCTCAACTCCATTGGGGCCCGGGGATCAAGATGTACTTAGTCTTACTCATGTAAAAACAAAGAGGTTTCTGTTAGACCTTAGATGCATTGCTGCTAGGGTTGTAAATGAACGGAATGATTTTGATCTGATTTGTCATTCTTATTCATTTGTATAGTTTCATATTCGAAAAAATTGAATCCCAATAGTATTTGGTATTCGTTACGTTAACAAATAAGAATACGAATATATCCATATTTTATTTTATTCAGTCCCTAAATGAATATATTTGAACAGATGGGTCAAATTATAAATATTAAAAAATTAATAGGCAATTCACTAATTGCTTAAAAACTAAATGTATGTTGTAGAATCAGGGCAGCAACGACACATCCTCAATAGCTAATGCCAAATTGTATCTATTCAAAGAGCTTTTGGGAAAAAATGCCTAGGAGTAGTTTAATATGAATCGCATTTTTTAGAAATAATTTAAATATTTATAAGACATTTTAAATGTTAGACGAACCAAATACTATAAAGCGAATCGAGTTTCATACGAACCGAATATCTTATGTAGAATACAAATCTTTGAAAATATTCAAACCAAATCCGAATTCGAATACCATCCTAGAAATGCGAACACTAATAATATTCATGAATATTCAATTTGGTTCATTTACAACCCTAATTGCTACATTTACTGCCCAAATCTACATAGAGAGTAAGAAGGAAGGGAAGTTTATGGTGCCTTTTTATTTAGTTCATCATGTGCTTGAAACTAAAACAAAGTCAATGATGATTGATGACTCTTGGAAACAACCTCGCTACTTTTGAATAGGGGTAAGGTCTCTGTACACACACCCTCTCATGCCCTACTTTTTGTGGGATTCTACTGGGTTTATTTAGCCATGGATGGAAAGAATGCAAAATTGACAGCATTAATAAAAAACTAACTCTGAACTAAACTTAAAAGGGTGTGTTCACATAATCACTATTGATGATTACGATATTTCTGGTAAAAACATGAGAATGAAAAGATTTTTGTACTGTTACTTTTACAGGAAAAAAACTCTAAAACAATGACAGAATTGGATTTGTGCTAAGAACACTAAAAATTGAGAGTCCATGGCCACACTGGCTGTCATTCTTAACTAATCTAAAAAGATCAGAAAAAGAACTCACATTTGCTGCTTGCAAGATGCTATCAATCTCCGGTATATTAACATGACAATCTTTACTGATGAAAGATTCCCATTTCTTAATTCCCGATAGAACCTTTGCTCAAGAGAAGTCGTGATCTGATAATTAGATTGAGTAAATATCATTAAGGTTCTACACTAACTAAAAACTGATGCATGTCAGCATATCATTCCATATTCCAGGAGAGTGCATTGTGTGTGGAATGGTGATACTATCAAAACAAGACGCATACATCATTCTTTATTAATTACATGTGGATACTATTGAAATGGCATAGGTTCCAAACCTTAGGTATACGCAGTGGATTTTTTGAAGCATATTCACACAATTTGTTAATCATTCGTTCATTGGGTTCCCCTCCCTGTCAAAAGTAAGAAATAGCTCAGTAATTGAACAGCCAAAACTGACTATTGAAATGTCACACTAACTCAATAAGAATAAATTCATGGTTTAACTTTATGGTATTTATCAAAATTGATGAAAAGTGAAACATGTATATTTTGAATTTCAAAAGAAGAGAAATTATTTTGGAATGGATGAAAAAGGAAAGTGTGAAATTGTTTTCGGGGCATATAGAGTATAAGATAAGAATAAGGAAAAATGGAAAATGATAGCATTGATCTAAATCTCGAGATCAGATTAGCTTAGTAGCCAACATCAGGTCACCAATTATCACCTCTGTTGGCCGTTACAAAGAGGGGTTGCTAGAAGGAGACCGCCTCTGATATATCAAAATACCTGCTTTTATGTGCTCTGCACTTAACCAAAATCTATATTAATTAACATTTTTCTACTGGTTTATCTAACAAGTTGACTCAACCTATTCTTTCAAGTTAAGTTCATGCCTTATCCAACTGAACTGCTGAAATAGCTGTCAACCAATAATGGGAAGTCAATTTGCTATGCTTAACTTTGAGTTTAAAAAAGGTAGAAAAGCTTTGCAAAAAAAGCTCCATTTTCATTGATATTTCAGGTGGAATCCCAGTGGTCATTCAAACAAATGAAACAATGATGTGCTGACAGTTTCAGCATGAAGTCATTTAATAAATTTCTTCATCTTCAAAAAAAAAAACATTTACAGGTTAAAGTAAAAGTAATGGCATTCATCCTCAGACAGTTAGACCCTAACTCTCTTCCTAACAATATGTCACCACCTCAATTAAATGGAATTAATGACTAGCTTAGTGATATGTGGGGAAACCATATGGAACAAAACATTCAGGTAGAAACTTGATAACATGCTTTCTATTTTGTAGTGAAAAAGGAACATTTTGAATGATGAAACAAGTCCAAAAACTGAAGAGGAAAAAAAATTGCAAGCAATATTTCTCTGAGACTAACCGGAGATCGGGGAAATATATCGGTGAGCATCTTCTTGTAGCGCTTCACCGGCTGCCGTGACCTGGGCCGCATGGCCGGGCAACAAACGCAGAGCTGATCACACGCAGGCATTACCCTATGGGAAATCACACCCATTCTCCAACGCCAATCTATCGTATTATGTACACTATTCAGCAATTCTGAAGGGGACTTCAATTGACAAAGAAATTATGTTCAATTTTCCTTGGTTTCTCGAGGTAAAGAGGATGAACTGCGAATGTACGACGGCGAATTGTGAACCCGGAGGAAGATCGGAGAATTGACGGTGCCGATCTCCGACTTTCCTCGACAAAAAATTAAGAAGACGGCGTCGAAATCGGAGATCGGAGAGAAGATTAGAGAAGAATGAAGATGTTCTTTTTCAAAAGAGAGGTCTCCCCGGATTTGTACGTTGGCCGTCTGGAAAACGTAAACGGCCATTTGGGGAAGATTTAAAAATGCGAGTATTTGAAAGTCAACTGAATAATTGCAGCTTTGCTGGCTTAATTTAATGGCATTGCAGTTTTAAAATTTTTTTTTTAAAGAAAATAGAATAATGCTTGATTCACAAACAAAATGGTCACAAACTTCACAAACCTACTAATTGTGAACTTCAATAAATAAAATTAAATAGTCTAAAATAACTTTAAAATAAAAAGTTAAACCATAAATAGTAAGTTTGTGAAGTTTGTGAGTGAATGTAGCATTGCTCAAGAAAATAAGAAATGCCATTAATGCCTCCAAATAGATTGTACAAATTCACGATGGAAGAATCCCAAACAACCATGAAGAGGCTCTACCTTCCTATTCCTAGCTTACTCATGAGCAACAATATTTTCAGAACGAGCTAACGAGGCACAAAGTGAAAACTAATAAAATTAAAATCATCACACAAACAACGACGATCATCAATAATCGAACCCAAATAAGAAGTAGAAGTGAACAAAAAATTCCTGAGAACCTGAACAATCATTTGACAATCTCAGAAAAATATCACCTTACGAATCTATCTAGTCTTCATCCATGATAAAGCCTCCCAAATAGGCATAGCCTCTGCTAGCAATGAATCCCACGAACAATGCATTATCTTGTTTGCAGCCACATGAAAATTTCTAGAAGAATCCAGAATTATGCTCCCAAACGCCACTCTACCCGAAGTGGGAAATAAGGTGGTGTCTACAAAGCATCGGAAAACGTCATCTCGAGGTACTTCTTCACTCGATCGTTGACCATTTCCTTCCATTGGACTACCATTTACTCCCTCTGTCCCCTAGTTTTTTTCCACTTATGACTTTTGTTCACTTATGATCTTGTTTGATTTGTCTTAACATATATATTATTAATTTATAATTTTTTAATATACAAATTACAAGATAAAATGGATTAAAGAAGTGTATTAGATGCTGTATAAAAATGAAAGTGGACAAAAACTGGGGGACGGAGGGAGTACTTCACAATAGATATTCCCCACCCACTCCATAACTAGCTTCGGTATAGGAACTTTTGACTCCCAAACCACTGAATTTCTCGCTTTCCATAAAGCCCAGATTGCCCCTTCCACCCTGCGTAGTTCTAAATTAGAAAGCGAATTGCACCTACGTTAGAACCAGGTAACAAACACACCAATCATGGACATCGGCCCACCCTCATTAATAATAGACCACACCTTTGAAGAAGCAAGTAGGCAATTTAAGAAAATATGGCCGAGTGTTCTAGTTGCCCGATCACATCACAAGTCATGCAAGCATCAATCATCTCCACATCTTTCAAGTTGAGACTCAAGACGATTGAGAGAATATCCCAGAGAGTTCACTATACACATATTTTATCTTTGGGGGTACAGGAATACGCCACACTCGACTCCAATCTGCAAAACCTGGCAAAATCGCAGCCTCACCCAGTAGGCGGTCTTCACTGAGTAGTTCTCATCCATATCACCACACCAATACCACTCATCCAACCTGTGTAAGCATACAAGAATTTTTCTGGTCGAATCTGCATCTCTTACCTCAAACATCGAACCGAGTGCTCGAACCGAGTGCTTCCGTATTCCACAACCTAGTACTTTGGTTGATTGAATAATGGACTGGCATATTGGGACAGATAAGTGGATGAGGTGTGATAACCTTTGGGTTAACATTATCTATTAGCGAAGGAGACTCCAAAATCAAAGTATTTAATCCATTACCTATTCTCTGTTGAGCACCATCAACAACCAAATTTTAAGACTCCGGGATATTACGCTACCAATAACTCGAAGAATGGCCAAGCTTTGCTTCAAGAAAAGATGACTTGGGAAAGTACCTGACTTTAAAGACTTTAGAACTAATGCCTCGAGCCTTGTGAGTAGCCTCCACCCTTGTTTTCCTAGCATTACCACATTAAATCATAGCTATTTTCCACATTTTCAAGTGTTTGTCTATTTGATGAAATTTAAAAATGGAAGTATTAAAGGATTGGTTAAATAAAAAACTAGGACTAAAATTCAAAATTAATGTGCATTCTTCATTTTGATTGAGATTAAAATTTCTTTTCTTCGTCTATTTCTTCTTCTCCGTGTTTTTTCTCACTTCTTCTCCAATACCCTTTGTTTTCTCTGTCACCTCATACTCATCATCCTTGTGTTGAGAGCCTCACTCAAATGAGTAATTTTTGCATCATGTATAAGAAGTTTAGAAGTTAATGAAGAATTTACTTGAACGTGTTGAGAACTTGAATATGTCATAGCCCCACTTCGGAGTTTTTGTTGAGATTTAAACATGAAAATTAGCAAGTTTAATGTGCAAATTATATTAGAATACTTATGCAATGGTTTTAGTACTTGAGTTTGAGCATTAGCAGCTAGAAAGATGAAACTAAAATCGAAAAGTATTTTAAAAATTGTTATACAAGAATTGAGGAATTAAGTTTGAGCATCTGGTTTGAAATACCACAATTCAGAAACTCTCTTTTGTTTATCTTCTGAATTTTTAAAGATGGATAATAATTTGTGATAGTTTCTATTAAAAGATGTTTTCAAAAAATAAACTACACACACACAAATATATATATATATATATATATATATATATATATATATATATATATATATATATATATATATATATATATATATATATATAGGGCGGTTCAGGTGAGAATGCACCTTGGTGAAAGAAATAAGAATAAAATCTAGCCTTTGGATCTGATGCATCGTGCGGCTCAGATTGCATCCTGCACTCAGATTTTGAGATAGTGCATTTTTAAAGGATTTTGGTGCATTTCGACATGATGCATTTTAAAATCATTTTGGTGCACCTAATTTTGATGCAATCCTGACCCTTAGATCTCACAATCTAGAGCACCAGATTCATTCTTATTTCTTTCATAAGATTGCATTCTCACCTGATCCAATATATATATATATATATATATACACACACACACATACATACATATATATATATACATATATATATATATATATATATATATATATGAACACTAATAACTTTGTCATATTGTAATACATGTTGATATATTCTTAAATTATTGAAATACATAGAGGTACTATCCTCACTAGGGTTCGAACACAAATATATAATTTTCATATTTTCAACCAACTGTCCCCTTCTTTGACAATATCTTTTGTTGTCATATTATGACAATAAGGATTGCGGTTTTCCAACCAAAAAATTAATGATTTATAATCCCCTAAACCCTCCCCTTGACCCACACCCCAACACCCACCCCCCAGTCAAGATGCTATAGTGGGTAATGACAGTGTAGCATTTCAGCATTTTGGGGAGGGGATAAGGGGTGCTGGAAAGGAGCACGAGGGTTTAGGGAGGTTAGAGGAGTAAAAACTATCATTTTTTGGTCAAAGTACCGTAGTCTTTGTTGTCATAATATGACATTAGGGACTGCTATCAACAGAATTGTGGTTTTCAACTAATTCAAACAATGTTCCCACAATTGTAGAAATAATGTAGTATATAAAAAAGTCTTTCGAAATTTGTAAAATAGCAATATTTTGTACCTTAATAATATAATCTTTATATTCTATTACATCTCATTTTTTAGCATTGAAAAATGATTTTAATTTAATAATATAATTATTATTACTATTTTTATTATTGTTACTATTATTATTATTACTATTATTATCGTGATTATAACTATTATTACTATTATTATTATTATTATTATTACTATTATTATTATTATTTATATTATTATTATTATTTCTATTATTATTATTACTATAATAATAATTATTACTATAATTATTATTATTACCATTATTATTATTACTATTACTATTATTACTATTGTTATTATTAATACATTTATTATTATTACTATTATAATTATTTAATTTAAATTTAAATTAAATATATACCAGATTAGATCAGACGAGATCAGATCAGATTAAAACCAATGAGATCACGCCAGATCCAATTAAATCAGATCACATTCAATCAAATAAGATCAGATCCTATAATATCAGATAATACTAAATCAGATCAGAACTTAAAAATTAGATCTGACCAGGCAAATGGAACGCAACCTTAATTTAATGAGGATTAGCACAAAAATCCATTTACCTAGTCTAGTAATTATATCTCGGGCCCAATAACTCTGATTCACGATTTGCTTACGTTGTTGGGTTTAGAAGAGCAAGCTCTACAAAATAAAATAATTTCCAAATTAAAAGTTAATTTTCAAATAAACCACTCTTAGATTGACTCAGTTATTAAATAGTTAGTTAAATTAGTTTATAATACTAAGTCGCAAGTGAAATGTATTCTCTGACCCTTTTTGGAGGATCAATGTGATATGCATTTTGAAATTTTTAAAAAGTAATGATATGCGTTTTGAAATTTAAAATGAAAGTGTTTGGAGAGATCTTGAAAATGGATGTTAGTGATACATAGGAGACGATCGGCGACGGTGAATGAACTGTGGGGTAGGTTACTTGCGGTGGTACCAACGATTGAGGGTGATATCAAAATTTTGAAGTAATATTTACCAATCTCAAGAGATATTACTACACTTGAGAGGATTGTGATATGAGGGAATATTCTATCCAAGTCATGTTTAGGCTACACCAAACACCTACAAAGTAATTCTGATATCATAAGATATCAAAACTCATATTTTTTTGTTTACTTTCGTTGAATAGATCGTGAGTGGTGTACTACACTTCCTCTATCTCGTAAAAAAAGTTTCATATTTTACTTGACACAAAATTTTAAAAAAGTGAAATTAGATGGTTAAAAATAGTGTAGAGAAGAGAAAAATTATATGGATCATAAAAGGTAGTCCAAAAGTGGAAAGTGAAAACTTGATGCAGCTTTCTTTTGTTGGGATAAATAAAAAATGATTTTTTTTGCGTCATTTACCCCTCATCTT